AGAAATCCTTGGATAATTGACACAGCGCAATCTAGGCCCAAGCTAAGCATAGCTTGTGTTATGGGTACTAGACAACTGATATAAATCTTATTATTAATATTATAAACGAGAAAGTTTGTGAGTATGGACGGATGTTTGTTACTCTTTCACGCAAAAACTACTGAACGGATTTTCATGAAACTTTACAGTAATGTAGCTTATACATCAGAATAATATATAGGCTATAAATTTGACGCGGATGAAACCACGGGCGCAGCTAGTAGTATTATAAATGCGAAAGTTTGTGAGTATGGACGGATGGATGTTTGTTACTCTTTCACGTAAAAACTACTGAATGTATTTTGATGAAACTTCATAGTAATATAGCTTATACATCGGAATAATAAATAGGCTATAATTTAAAGAGATATTACGTAAATTGGACAAAATATAGATATGTCTATATGATATGTCAAATGTAATGCAGGTGAAGTTGCGCGAGTTAGCTAGTACTTAAATACATTTTTATTGTAATTACATACATAATATACATAGAAATCACCCAGACACAAACAATCATACTCATTAATGTGTGTACCTTGCGAAGAATGGAAACTGCGACCATAGAATGTAAAGCAGTTTGCTAAACTACTAGACCACCGAGGCTGTCGAAACATTGCTAAGAGGGTAACTGAGCTGACCTCGTGCTCATCCTATCATCCTCCACTGGTGCCCCGCCAGCGTATACCGTTAGCGCAGGCGGGGACACAATTCCGTTACCCTTACTAATATTACAAATTTGTAAGTAACACTGTTTGTCTCGCTTTCACGCCAAAACTACTGAACCGATTTAAATGAAATTTAGTACACAGATAGTCTAGACCCTGAGAAACGACATAGGCTACTTTTTATTGCGAAAAAAGGGTTGTAAGGGGTTGAAAAGGGAGATCAAAGTTTGTATGGAAGAATTGTCATTTTGAAAGTTAAAATGTTAATTTTTATTTAGGCTGTTGATTAAATATAAATAAATATGACATTCAAAGTTTGTAAAAATATTACCACTAAGAGGGTAAAATAAAATATGTAATGAAAATTTGTATGGAAAATCGTCATATTAAGCTTTTATCTTTGGCATTTTTGGGATAGATTTTTAAATATTTTTTCATTATTTGGTCAAGGTAAGTATACCACTCGGACGTAGTCGCGGACACAGCTAGTCATGCATAAAAGAAAAAGCCGAGCGTTGGGGTAAGGATTGCTAGGAATAGTCACTGGATTCTATTCCATTATAACGAAAGGTAAACAAAGAGGTCACCAACCCGTCCAAAGACTGTACAGTGTTGAGTAACAGTACGAATGAACAATCAATAATTTTAGTGAATATTTCTATGAATAATAATAATCTCAGGACAATTCACACAGCGCCATCTAGACCCAAGTTAAGCTAGCTAAAGCTTGTGTTATGGGTACTAGATAGCTGATACAAATATGTTAAATTAATATTAAAATGCAGTACAATAATAATAATCTCAAGACAATTCATACGGCGCCATCTAGACCCAAGTTAAGATAGCTAAAGCTTGTGTTATGGGTACTAGACAACTGATACAAATATGTTAAATTAATATTAAAATGCAGTACAATAATAATAATCTCAGGACAATTCACACAGCGCCATCTAGACCCAAGTTAAGATAGCTAAAGCTTGTGTTATGGGTACTAGATAGCTGATACAAATATGTTAAATTAATATTAAAATGCAGTACAATAATAATAATCTCAAGACAATTCATACGGCGCCATCTAGACCCAAGTTAAGATAGCTAAAGCTTGTGTTATGGGTACTAGACAACTGATACAAATATGTTAAATTAATATTAAAATGCAGTACAATAATAATAATCTCAGGACAATTCACACAGCGCCATCTAGACCCAAGTTAAGATAGCTAAAGCTTGTGTTATGGGTACTAGATAACTGATACATATACATAGATTTTTTTTGTAAATACATACATAATATACATAGAAAACACCCAGACCGATACAAACAATCATACTCATGAATACAAATGTTTGTGCCGTGCTAGGAATCGAACCCGCGACCATCGGAAGTATAGCGGTGTGCTGACCACCGAGGCTGTCTAACTGTAGATTATAACGTTTTTTTTTAGCGTTTTTTTCTAGCGGTACCCGCGACTTCGTCCGCGTGGAATTTTAACTTTATTTTTCTAAATAAATTAAAAGAAATTTTCTGAAATAAAAGTAGCCTAAGTTGCTCCTTATTACATCAGCTACCTGCCAATAAAAGTCCCGTCAAAATCACTTCAGCCATTTCAGAGATTAGCCGGAACAAACAGACAGACAAAAATTGTAAAAAAAATATTTCGGTGTATGTACCATATATATATTCATATGCATGTAGTAAAAAACGGTTATTTCAATATTACAAACAGACACTCCAATTTTATTTATATGTATAGATAAAAAACCGTCATAATCTACCGTTACAGCATTTGTAGTTACCAAGAGTGCAGAAGTTGTTAGACGTAATCTCAATATCTATTTCAGGAGAAGGACGTGAACTTTGTGCCTTCCCAACTGCTAGGAAACTTTCATACTCCACTACTTACTACACCGGTAGTCCATCGAGGCGGTCGAATATAACCAGTATCGATTTACCAACTCATTCTTGCCTCTTCTGCTTTCTTCTATGACAATCGGTCATTACTTTTACGACAATTTAAACCAAAGTTTCGATTTACCAATGTGATAATACATTCTTCTTTCTTCTGTTTTCTTCCATGTCAATCGGTAGTTATGACTATTTTTAACAAACTCTAATAACGAGTTCTGAATTCTGCTGCATTTTTTTATTGATGTTTGTTACTTCGTAATTCTGTCATTTATTGACGTATTTGAAAAAAAAAACTTGTTACAGACAAAAGAGTATGTATATAAATTCTTTATTGCACTTAAATACATTTGTAAGTATATTAATTACAGCTAATGTTAACAAAGGAGGACTTATCTCTAAAAGAGATCTATATACTTTCCGATTAGTACCATTTTTTTCATGTTTGGAGTAGTTTTTTTTAACCCATTCCTTCTCATTCTTAGGACACTACATTTAATTTTTTTTTTTGCAACAAACTATGTATTTATGCTATAGCTACTAAAGAAATTTGTATTTTAAAATATTTTGTCTATTAAAATATGTTTTTTGGTAGTAATACATATTTACGTCATTTTAATACATATAACTTTTTTTTAATGTATTAAGACCTTAATCTATTACATCGATGCTCGGGAAGTAATGGGGTACAATTTGTTTTCCTTTTTGTTTATATAAATTATATTGCAACAGTAGTTTTATATTTTTTTTAATATTTTTTTTCTTGACATATTTCACACTAGCTGTGTCCGCGACTTCGTCCGCGTAAAATGACGATACTTTCATACAACCTTTCAATCCTTTTTTCGCATTAAAAAGTAGCGTATGTCATTTCTTAGGGTCTAGAAACCCGAGTACCAAATTTAATTTAAATAGGTTCAACAGTTTTGGCGTGAAAGCGAGATAGACATACAGACAGATTTACTTTCGGATTTATAATAAGTATTAGTTAGCGTTAGCGTTAGTTAGCGTTATTTATTATTTTAGCGTATATGATTGCTATAGTAGTATTTTTTTTTGAGGATGATAATGAAATGGTGCACCTGCCTGCGTTAACGGTTTACGCTGGCGGGGCACCAGTGTAGGATAAGATGAACATGATGTCGGGTTAGTTAGTCCATCGTGACAAATTCACTAGGAATTTATGACGATGGTTTCCAGGAGAAACCGTGTGGAGGTCGACCTAACATGGTATATTGTTCCCATTACTAGCAATCCCCTTTAAAATCTGTTGCGTAGTTTAAAAGACCTTAACGAACAGACCGCGGATACGATTTCATTTCATTATATTTAAAGTAGATATAATAATTTGTATATCTTATAAATAATTATAAAGATTATTAATATCACTTCCCAAAACTCTAAATAGGTTATCAATTTGCAAAAGAATTAACCGAAAAATGTCTTTAATCTGAAAAAGAAATCTTTAATCTAAAATAATGTTCTTGAAGCCGGTAATAAAATATCAACAGTCAGAATATATAAACAGTCAGGTTACTATAATCTGCCGTAAATATCTATTTCCCATATTTGTGAAGCTGGCAACACTGAACTCAAGTACTGGCAGGTTACAGTAGAAAACAAAAATAAATAAGTTTTTACTTGGAACCATTTGTAAAGTGAAAAAGGATTTAATAAAAAAAAAAAAATAGCTAAAGGACATGTACCGAAGCCATAACTTAAAATATTTAAAAATAGAACGGGCAGGTGATAATCTGACCACATACCTAAATACGTTACGTTACTCACTGTCTACGAATATCGCTGTCATTCGCAGACACGACTAATTTATAGGTAAGTACGATCGTTCAATCATTTATTTCGTTATTCCGAGTGGCAACAGCGGTAGCTTGGTAGGTAGGTATGTAACTACATGACATAAGCCAAACAAGTTTGTATAGGTACTCGAATACAAACAGTCGAAGCTGTTCTAGTTTTTTAACTTGCTTTGCGAATTATCGATTACTTTTAGTAATAAACGAATATATAATTTTAATCGCGTTGCCATATTCAATTCGCTTAATTCTTTTACTTGTTTACTACGGAATCCAATATCAACAACACTGTAGTTACCAGGCACTCATAACCTACAAGGATATCGATTCAAAACATTCCCTCCAAAAAATGCGCCGCATAAAAAAGGGGTTACGAAAAAAGACCTGCTCGGGATGTGTAAAAAAAGCATTGAGAATACGAGGGTTAGACCTCCGTACCTCCGAAGTTCGATCAGCGGCGACCGCCCCACTCGTATGTTAAAACCTCCGGGTACTGGGTAACGGGCGAGCTACCCCGCATTTCTGCTCATATATAACAGAAGTAACACTGGAGCGGACGCTCTCCAAACTTACGATGTTCCGGTTGCCTTTCTTCCTCATACGAACATTGCACGGCGTTTATCCATTTAACTATTTTAAAACTACACTACACAAACACTAGGATCCTCACGCTCACTGACATCGAATTGAAATTTAGTCTTTTTTTGTTCAACGTTTGTCGCGTGTCGCGCCGGCCGGCGGGAGGAAAACAAAGCTGGCACGCAGGTAGGCGATACTACGCCGCGTTTGCGAGACGCTTGACGAAATGTTTTACATTATTTCACTGATTATTAGTTTAAATGAAGCGGCGGTCGCCTCATGACAAATACGTAGCGTGGCGCATGGTACACGGGTCGCGATATTAGGTACACACGGCGTGTGTCGCTCGATGGTACTGGCCGGGTGACGGGTGGCGGGCGGCGGCGGGAGGGTGGAGTGCGGTGGGAGCGGGGCGCGGTGCGACGCGGGATACTGCTTTACCGATGTTACGACCGTGGTGCTGTTTTACCAAACAAGCGAATAGCGGACTCTGCCGGAGTTCAGCGGACAGGTGGCGCGGTCGAAATTTGAAAGCTTAGCGTTTTAAGCGCTGTAATAATTTATTACAACGCTTTTTATTTACTTTTTAACCATTTTATATTATAAAACGTAATTTTTAGTGGCATTAACATGCGTTACAGTGCTTATAAATTTTAGGGTATATGAACCGATAATATCCGTATTTCTCTTGCATAATTTAATATTTTCTTTTAAATTCTAATAAATATAATTTATGTAACTAGTTATAGCTGTGTGTTGTGCCAGTGTGTTTTCTTCACACAGTTATAATAAAATTAAACAATACGGTTTTAATCTGTCACTACTGTTATGTTATTCACTATTATTTTTATCCGCTATTAATTTATAAATTACATAACAATATCTATACAAGATAGTTATGATGCTTGAACCAGACACTCAAGGATGTTGAAAGCTTTTTGGGACAGTGCAGCCAGTGAAATTACAGGATATATGGCATAACATCTTAGATCTCTAAATGACAACGCAGTAGAAGTATTATTAATTACCGTAGTACTAATTACTGTAGCCGTCAACTTGTTTGCTAATCAAAATACGTAAAAAAAGCATAATAAAACGTTTGTAACATTTAAGCAGATCTTGCACGCATCAAAAATGGGAGCGCATCCGCTGTGTTCTAATTTCAAAATAGCAGATGGACAGGTTTAATAGCAATGTATTTATTAATACGTGAGGCAGACTTAATTTTTAAATAATTTTTAATTTTGCACACCTAATGATACAAAACATAATGGGACGTTATATTTTACTTTATTACATTAACAATCACAACTAGAGGACTTGATCCAGGGATTTCGAAACTGGGATCCCGAGATCCCGACCAGGATTTTCGGGATTAACAAAAATTTTTACGAATTAATAAATTTAGTGTTTTTGCAGGAAACAAAACGAACTTAATGTCTAATTAACATTTATCAACCATCTTGGATAATCAGCTGATTGATTTAATTAGTTTGCGACGGCGTTGTGTGAATGTGTACAAGAGTTCGTCTTCACGCCAGTAATTTCGTAGCAAATATTTCGTTGACTATAAGCGCACCGTCTTTTGTAAGAACTATAATGATTTATAGGAATTACTATATTTGTCGATGCTTTTGCATACCTACTTGTCTTACATCCCTATGGTTGTTGATTTTCTCAAAGTATAATTTTTATTAAGTACCTATGTATGTATTACAAATTATAAACTACAAATATTAGTTTTCAACGAAATTAGTAGCATAATTTTGTTTAATATAGCTTTAAAATGAAACTATTACCTATTACCAAAATAAAAAAAGAATGATTAAAAATAATTTACCGACTTTTCATTGCCACTGTATTCCTAAATTGATCCCGGGATCCTGGTATTATCTTTCAGTAATCCCGAAATCCCGGGATTAAAAAAACTAGTCGGGATCGTATTCTTTAATCACAACTCATGTACTATGTTTATCTTAAAATAAATCTGATTTGATTTGATTACTCATAGTTTTTGTTTGTAAGAATAGTTATAATATTTTATTTCAAAACTAAATAAAAATTTGACATGTCACAATCAGGCATTAAGTCTGCCATGTATACAATTTTGTGTGCAAAAGAATAAATAAATAAATAAATAATTTTGTTTTTTTATTTGATCGCTGAATGCTAACATAGTCAGCGCTTTTTCCGCTGTACGTCACCGCTTACCGCATACGATGCGCCCGTCAACCAATAATCTTGTTGGTATAAGTAGCACATGAACACGGCCGAACATTGTTTATATTTTTATTTGAAACCCCTCTATCACTCTGTTGAAGAACTAGTTGTATAATGCGGTGATGTCTGCGTGAATTTTAGTTGAAGGTATCATAATAATATGAGTTACTCTCTAATATTATACCATATAGGAGAAGGGTTGCAGATTAGACATTGGTAAATTCACTACGATATCTGTACAAACAATTAGGTATTTACAAATAGACCATGCTCAAAGAATTATATTAAAATGAAATGCAATAACTAAAACCATAATCTATTTATTTTGTTTCAAATCTGTCTGGTCAAAAAGGTCTGCTACATATTTTCGATAAGAAAAAAACTATTATTTGTAAGTTTAAAATTAGAACATCCACAGAGTAAAGCTTAATAATTGTAAAACATTTTTATTGTACTTTATTGTTCTTTGTTTATCTGTGCTATAAAGTGTTATTATTATTAAACGATTTAATTCGACGAATACGTACTGAATAATAATTGTACGATACCAACTATATAAAACCAGTAAACTGACCAACTTCCCTATAGTCAGCTAATGGGCTAACGTTCTTGATGGTCTAGCGGATTAGCATATCGCTTCACTTCCGATGGTCGCAGGTTCGATTTACAAAAAAAAATTGTTTAAGTGTTTGTATGAGTAGTCTAGCACCCATAACACAAGCTCTGCTTATATTAGGACTAGATGGCGCTGTGTGAATTGTCCTGTGTTATTATTATTATTATAGTCTTCCTTATTTTTGGGTTGAAATGGAGAGGTTTTACTTCAAAATCTGTGACACCCCTGGTGTTTCAGGCGTCCATAGGCTACGGTAACCGTTTACCATCAGATGGGCCGTATGCTTATTTGCCAACTAAGTGGTGTAAAAAAAAAAACTTTTCCAACAATAATTAGGTAAAGCAAGACGGTTATATGGCAACACAGTCTGTCAAATTACGTCAACAGTTGTCAAAATTTTGCAAGTATTGACGTCCGCTGTACTCCCTGTATAGCAATCGCCGATCGCGGAAAAACACGAATTTATAAAAATAATTTACATGAAACGTGTCAATTACCTATATTTAATTGTAGTTTAGTAAATAAGGGTATTATATAAAATGGTTAGACATAGGAAAGTGGGTAATTCGCATCAGAAAAACAGTAATAATAATGACACCAGTAGTAGTTCGGCGAGTAGCGAGAGTTTCACGGCTAGTAAGGCTTTCAAAATCTTATCTATATGGAAAACCTTCGTTGGCTTCATCTTCTTCATGTTTGCCGTGTATGTTGGCACCCTTGGGTACTTGGAGACTAGAGTAAACACTCCTTTTGACGATGAGAAGGTAAGCTGACCACTGTTATCAAATCAGCGATCCCGGGTAAAATTGTGTATTGTTTGTGTACTATATCAGAAATAATTTGATTACGTGGCAATTTGTTTATAATAAATTCTTAGGAAGCCAAAAATGGGCGCTTTTGTTCGACTTTTGTCATGATTCTATTAAAAAAAAAAATTAATAACATTTAAAAATGGAACCGGCGTGTGGATAGAACAATATGACTGTATGTGTGTAATACATTAACCTATTAAAAAATACAACTTTTTTAATTTGTATATTTTTTTGGAAGCATCCTAATACAACCAATGACTAGGTCATATGGGCCATGCTTTTCGCCTGTCAAAATTGGAAGTATTTTAAAACGACAACTACTCTAATACTATTGGCCATAAATGGCTTTTAGAATATAATAAAAATAATCTTTATTTAAATAAATTTAAGAACTTTACTAAAGTCACACTATGTTTTTTCTATCACCTATTGGGTCTCAGCTCATCACAAGAAGAATAAGCAAGAAACTTGCATGTTGCTTGTTTAAACAAATGTTATACAAATCTTTGTTTCTTTATCTTTGTTGTAAACAAACTAAACTAAAAGACCTTATAAACCACATATGTACCACATTTTTAAGCAATAAAATATTCATATCTAAAAAAATTTATTAATTTCATTTCATTTTAACAAATCTTTACATTTTTAAGTCAAAATATGTCTGAATACAAACTACCTAATAAGCACATTTATTAAAGTCAAAATATTAAGTATACAGTTGATTGAAGCACTAAATAAAGCAGTTATAGTGATTAGGACAGACTAGTCCCTACAAGCAGAACTCGTTCATGAGTACAACAGCTTTAACCTTTCACCACAGATTCACAATATCCCATGGTTAGAGCTGTATTAGCTATTAACCACACAGTTGTATGAGCTATTTATATATAGTAGAAGTATTGACAACTTTTATTTTTTAATGTGTAGGTATGGTAATCTTAACACCTTGTGGCATTATCGACCGGGCAACCATGACTGGTGCAGAGAAAGATTGTTGGCAGTGCACTAATACAAATAAGAAATATCAAATATATCCTTACTAATATTATAAGTGGAAAAGTAGGGATGTTTGTTACACTTTCATGCAAAAACAACTGAACTGGTCATTATGAAATTTTGTACACATGTTCTTGAGGTATTAGATGAACATAGGATACATATTATTAAAAAAAAAAAAACACTAACGAATAAAACGTCAGCATTTTGCTATTTCAGGGCCATCTAGCAGCTATTAATGATTCAATGCGAGCGAAGCCGCGGGTAAAAACTAGTATATATATATATATACATACAAAGTTTTCTTCACAATATTCCAGGTGGTCAGTGAGTCAGGTTTATCGGTGCCTGCTCGGTATTGGGGTACATACAGACCCGGTGTGTACATGGGGATGAAGAGCCGCGAACCCCGCTCCCCTGTGTTTGGGCTCATGTGGTATGACTTGTCTGCTACTCCACATAAGGGTATAAGGTGAGAAAATATCAATTATAATCAGTAGAAAAAGTCTGTACTTTTTTCTATAATTTCAACTTGTATGATCTAAATGATCGCCTGATGGTGACAGCATCTGATGGTAAGTGGTAATCATCACATATATACATGAATTGTGTATCAGATATCATGGTATCATGCATTATTCCAGAGGGCTAAGAAGTCATGCTTCCAGTGTCGTAGCTACTTTGCCTTGCTTGGCCTTGAAGCCGGTTCCCGCAAGAGAAACCCCAAGTAGCTCCCGTGACTTGTGACACGGGTGTAGGTTTAAAAGGCCCTTTTAGAATGCATTAACACTCACCTTCACTACTTGCAGCTTCCCCCCAGGCCCAACTAAGACCGGGATAAAGCCATTTCTAATACAATTCACTTTAGTTTCGAAAACACAACCGGCACGCTCTGCGCTCGTCGACTGAATGCCGCGGCTCACCCAACGAAAGAGGATTATTCAACTACCGACCTCCGTATTTATAAACCGAAGTCAGTGTAGTAGGGTAGAAGCAGGTGTAACAGTTATGTTATAACAAACAACTTGGTTCTGTTTATAAATACTAGATGGCGCTATTTACAATATTTGTAATAATCTTTACATTGGGTACTTCATTAGTACTAAACACAAACTACCTTCTTTTAATATCTTTTTTAAATATTGGACTTTTCTACAATATTGATTTGAACTTTGAACACTAGGGGCTAGGCACCTGCCCACAAGCTCAGGGGATCCTCGAACCCTTACCAGAAAGTCTCAATCGAACTGAACTTTCCCAAATTTCTCCCATTTTCAAAATAAATATGACAGGTTGAATCCCGACTTTAATCATGGCAACTCAGTTGAGAGAAATTCGAAAGTTATACCTTCGGAATTCCCCTCAATTCTTTCTGTGGGTTGGCAGTGTTGTCAATTTGTTGGATAGCGATATATGTCTTAATAAAACTGTAATTTAGTGCCCCATTTTTGATTTGCCTCAGGGCCCTTGGTCACCTAATTACGCCACTGCATGCTTCTCCCTGATCCGACCGTACAACCATACTACAATTAAAGCAAAATGTTTGTGGAGGATTATACGGGTATAGAAAGACTGAAAAAGAGATGGATGGACTGTGTGAAAGATGATATGGTAAGAAAGGGAATAAACAACGCGATGACTGCGTACAGGGATGAATGGAAGCGAAAAACATATTACGACCACAAATAAATGGGATAAGGAAGAAGCAGATGATGTTTGAGGTCTGAAATAGGCCTGTGATACTGTTGATGCGTGGCCATGATGGAGGTCAAAAATATTCCTTGAATGATATCTCATCCTACAACTGAAATAGCTTACAAAAGTAGCTGCTTAGTGGCTGAAATATGTGACCAACGTTTAAACCTAGCTCTACCCAGATCACTATCTATATATAACGATGTCACCATAGAGTTGCCTTTTTTTACATTAACCATTTTTATATATGTACAAGGTAAATACGAAACCCCACCCCTACATCTAAATAATTATTATGGATATCGATTGTTACAATTAAAATTGCCTGAAATATTTAATAAAATGCCTCAACATATCAGAAATCAAAATAGATATAAATCCTTTTGTATAAATTATAGAAACCATTTATTAAAAACATATAACATCACATAAAAAAAAAAAAAAATCTTGTCCTTATTTAATAGTATTTAATACTTAAATATTGTAAAACGGAATACTGTATTTTATGTGTACGTTAAAATACTATCTAAAATAATATATAAGCATGTACCTATTGTAAGTAGATAAGAGAGAACTACGTGCCTGCAGACAAACCCCGACAGGAGTTTTGCAGGATAGTAGAATAATAATATGTAAAATTTGAAAAATAAAGCTTTTTATCTATCTATCTATCTATCTATATATTATTTTGTGTGGTAGACATTGGTGCGAGCAGGGTGATAACCTGGCCTCCTACGGGTGGCTGCGTCACGACGGCGTCTCCTTCGGGGAGCAAGTAATCGTGGACAAACCCCATAACATTACAACGTCGTTTATGAAGACCCCTGGGGGGTCACATGGTGGTCATTGGACTGTCAGGATCAACGTTACTTCTGATGTAAGTTAACTCTTATTTTATACTAGCTGTACACGCGAATTCGTCCGCGTGGAATTTAACTTTATTTTATACGATATTGAAACCTTCAAGAAAGGAGCTTATTCCTTTTTAAAAGGCCGACAACGTACTTGCAATATCCCTGGTGTTGCGGGTGCTCATGGGCGGCGGTAATCACTTACCATCAGGTGAGCCGCATGCTCGTTTGTCCCCTGAGTTATAAAAAATAAAAAAGTTACAACATTAAATAACAACTATGAATTATTCAGGATTATTTTATCATATATATGAGTTATTATTTTATAAAAGCCATTCTGCTGTTGCTAGCCGTATTATTGTGCTCACATTTGCGCGCTGACCTTCCCGTGGTCAATCCTTATTGCGCGTGAAATAATGTGGTTACTAGAGGCAAGCAATTATATCATTGTAATGTTATACCATACTAGCTGTTCCCGCGACTTCGTCCGCATGGAATTTAACTTTATTTCTCTAAAATAAAAGTAGCCTAAGTTACCCTTATTACATCATTTACCTGCCAAAAAAAATCCCTTCAAAATCGGTCCAGCCATTCTAGAGATTATCGGAACAAACAGACAGGCAGACAAATAAAAATTGTAAAAAATGTTATTTTGGTGTATATACCAAATTTCTATTCATAGACATATAGTAAAAAACTATTATTTCAATATTACAAACAGACACTTCAATTTTATTTATATGTATAGATAATAATACTTTGTTGTTATATGTGTTTTATGTTAACGGTAGGGGAAGATATACAAAAACTTTACTTCAAGTTCAAGGGTAGAGAAAACATATATCAAAAATTTACTTGTACAAGTCACTACAATGTTATGTATGTAATTAATTAACTGACCGCTATCAAAAATAGCAAAGTATAAGCAATAATTAAATAAACTTCCTTATTATGTTCAATGGTAGGAAAAATTACACTAAAACTTTACTTGTAAAAGCTGTAGTAGTTTTTACATGTAAATATTTTTTGTATATTTTTCCCTCAATATTATGTGGGCTAACTAACTAATCATTACACACTATAAAACGAAGTCGCTGTCGCTGTCTGTCCGTCCCTATGTATGCTTAAATCTTTAAAACTACGCAACGGATTTTGAAGTGTTTTTTTTTTAATAGAAAGAATGATTCTAGAGGCACCACCCCACAACCAGGCCCCTGGAGGCGCGCGCGTGTACCCACGCGCCTCCACGAGGTAGGGTGCAAGCCATAGCACCCTAACCAGAGAGAGGGGGCCTGTCCTACAACACCTACAGGACAGGCCAAGCCGCCGAAGTCTGGGTTGAGTGCCAAGTGCGAACCCCGGACTTCGGCCCGCGGCACCTCGAGGTATACCGTGTGGTTTTTTAGTGGGTACGAGTCCCACACACCACCTCGCCATCCCTCTGGCGGGGTGACGGTCTTGTTGAAGATTTTTCCACACGATAAAAAAAAAAAAGGGGTAGATTCATATGTATAATACATGTATACCCGAGCGAAGCCGGGGCGAGTAGCTAGTTATACAGTATAAAAAAATAGGGTAACTCAACACAGAGGAGTTTTGTTACAACAAAACGCGATTTTAATATTTTAGATTTAAAATATAGTTTTCTTGACTTATTTCCAAAAAACAGCAATATTCATAATATTAATACTAGATTTAAAGACAAACTTGCTGTCCCCAAGTATCGTTTAGAAAAAGTTAATAGGTCTTTTATGGGAATAGGTATAAAAATTTACAATAAGATACCAAAGGATATGTTGGAATTACCCTTAAATAAATTCAAAACATCTGTTAAATCATATTTACTGAGCAAAGCCTATTACTCACTAAACGATTACTTGAATGACGAGTGTGCATGGCAATAGTTGTTCATGCACTGAATTTTCATTTAATGTTAGACATAGACACCTATATAAAAATACATTGTAAATAAACTGGCTTTAAAAAAAAAAAGTAATTCAATTGAGTTTCTTGCCAGTTCTTCTCAATTGGATCTATATACCGAACTGGACGGTAGGGAAAAAATAAAATTATAATGTAAAAATTTGACGTTCATAAGCGGCTAAAATGTCCTACATGAATAAATGATTTTTGAATTGAATTTGAATTTGAATTAATTTGTAGGGAAACTCAAGAGTACCGTTCATGCTGATCTGGTACGCGGCTCTGGACGAGTCCCTCGGGCCGGCCGCCCCCCACTCGCGGCTGTGGGCGGAGCACGGAGCTATACTGGGACAGACGCCCCAACTCCGCAACTTCAGGATCGACCTGATGCCTTACAAAGGTATGAGACTATATTTCACACCGTCATACTCGAGAACAGATCTGTTTTTGGTGACTGATCTGTTTGGCTTACGAACACTGATTAGACTATTTGCTTTTGCAATAGCATATGCTGGTGGTCACTCTATTCTCCCAATTTAAATTTAAAAGTGAATCTGTATTGTTGTAAACATGTACATTTATTTGAAAAGAATACGAGCTGAGTTTCTTGTCAGTTCTTCTCATCTCGAAATTATTCCGAACTGACGGTAGATTTGACATATCATAATAGTCTGTAATAGACCTACACGAATAAAGATATTTGAATATAAAATTTTTATTGTTTAATTAATGAATAAAGGCCGTTCTTAAATTACTCTCTCTCTGAAGATATGAAAGTTACCTCCGATCGATCCCCCGTCCAATTCAAATGGGTGCCCTGAGCCGAGGTTCAAAAAGTCTAAAGTCGTATCTTAGATAGATTTGGTTTTTAGCCGCTCCATAATTCCTCCCTTTGGTTTGGAGTGCCATCTACACTCGCTTCCTATTGTCCAGAGTCCTCCCTTTGGTTTGTTTTGGGTTTCCCTCCACTCGCTTCCTATCGTCCAGAGAAGCTGTAAAGCTGACCAACAGCATTAACAGCATTTCATTATATAACCTTATCTAGCTATCTAGCGTATATGAATGCGTCGATATAATAATAATAATAATAATTTCAGGACAATTCACACAGCGCCATCTAGTCCCAAGTTAAGCTAGCTAAAGCTTGTGTTATGGGTACTAGATAACTGATACAAATACATAGATTTTTTTTTGTTTTTCGTAAATACATACATATTATACATAGAAAATACCCAGACCGATACAAACAATCATACTCGTGAATACAAATGTTTGTGCCATGCGAGGAATCGAACCCGCGACCATTGGACATAAAGCGGTGTGCTGGACCGCTATACCACCAAGGTCGTCAAAATAATAATATAATTTACCTCTTAGGCATACATAGTGTTGGATTACAATCCAGTTTTATACCGAACTACACGCTCCTAGTTATATTATTATATTGACTGTAATCAGTTTTGTATGCTATTAAATAAATAAATTAGAATAGGCCGAAAAAAAAATTGCCGACGCATGTAATATCACCCCATTATTATTTTCAGTAGCAAAAAAAATGAGTCTACAAATAACATTCAATCTAAGCAGTTTTATTTATCGAAACCCATGATCTAGGAATACCCCTATGACTAAATGAACATGCAAAAACATTGAAGTGAACTTTAAAGTTTTAAGCCAAGAAAGCCTCAATACATTAGAAATCCGATTTTAACACTGTAACTTTAAAGTCTATTTTAAAATGGTTGTCAAGTAAGAAATGACATAAATTCTGAGTACACGGGCGAAGCCGGGTCTAAATACAAGTCCAGAATAACAGTTGTAAAGATTTTTTTTAAATAATAAAAAAAATTGTAACAGGTAAGCTGCTCCACTCGTCGTATTCAGAAGCGTATGCACCAGGGCTGCATCTTCTCAAGGAGAAGGTTTACTCGCTACTCAAGAACGAGCGTCACCCCACCTTGGGCCGGCTGGCGGTGCTGTCGCCTGATGCGGAGCTAAATGATGAAGGGGTGTGTAATAGATTATGTATCTTATTGTAGCAATAATAAAGCTCTTTATTACGTAATTTATAATACTTCTTAAGTATTAGGCATTCTATAGCCAATATAACATCATATTTTAGACAGCTGCGTCACCCCGAGCCCATGGGTCATGTAATGCTGAACATTATTTATTTAAAAGAGCAACACACAACTTTCTTGCTCTTTCTTGTGATGAGTCTGCTGTCTGAATATGTGATAGAATAAAAAAATGACTATTTAAAAATGCTTACCATAAGCTTATAAAAAAAAAAACTTCTATTTTTCTAACACCATAATCCTACCCTCCGTTCAAACCCCCGTCCAATTCAAACGGGGGTCGAAATTACGACCGTCGGCCGAGGTTCGAACTCCCTAGCGGTGCACTCGGATTAAATCGTCAAAATCGGTCCAACCATTTCACAGATTAGCCGGAACAAACAGACAGACGAAAAGTGTAAAAAATGTTATTTTGGTGTATGTACCGTATTTATATTCATATGCATATAGTAAAAAAGTGTTAGTTCTCTAAAATGGCAATTCATGAGAGTCAGGGGCGGATCTACCTAAGGGCTTTTTGGGCTGTAGACCAGGGCCCCGTGCATACAAAGGGTTCCCAGTCCCCACTGAAAATAATAGGCGATATTTAGAATTGAAAACAATATTTAAAAACGTATCATAAGGTGGGCAACCCTGATATCAATTGACCCAATCAGGCCACTAATTTAGTCCACGGCCCCATAAATTTCCTATCCGCCCCATCATCTCATCAGACTCTCATCAGAGTTACACCTGGCGTCAACATATACATGTAATGTTATATAGTTCATGTATATAGACGACGCGACGGTTACCACTCACCATCATTCAAGATACCACTTACCATCATACCTTCATGACAATTGACGATCCACCATCATGTATCAGATTATTTGCCGATCAATTTTTTTTGACAATTCACACAACGCCATTTAGAGAAATAGAAATAATCTTTATTCAAATAAACTCATTACAAGCACTTTTGAATAGTCATATTTTGATTCTACCACTCATTCGGAACGCAGACTCATCACAAGAAGAATGAGCAAGAAACTTGTGTGTTGCTCTTTTTAATATATGTTTTTTTATATAAATAATTACAGTATAACAAGTAAGAGGCATGCGATAATCAACATAGAAATTGCTACGCACTCATTATTAGTGTAATTAGATAATATTGTCAGTACTATGGAATTAAAGTTTTTCTATAAAGTGACAAGTTAAGCTATCTAGAGCTTGTGTTATGGGTACTAGATAACTGATACAAATACATAGATATTTTTTTCGTAAATACATACATATTATACATAGAAAACACCCAGATACAAACAATCATACTTATGAATACAAATGTTTGTGCCGTGTGAATCGAACCTGCGACCATCGGAATTAAGGTCACACGTTTCGACTTGTAATGTAAACTTACAAGGATTATTTAAAAGAGCAACACACAAGTTTCTTGCTCGTTCTTCTTGTGATGAGACAGCTTTCCGAACGAGTGGTAGATAAAAAACAAATTGTTATGACTATTCAAAAGTGCTTAAATTAAGTTTATTTGAATAAATGATTTTCTATTCTATTCTATTCTAAGGCTGTGTGCTACACTGCTAGACCACCGAGGCCGTGTAAAGGTCATATCTATGACGTTTTTTTTATATATTTACATAAAAAAACCGTCATAAAATCTACCGTTACAGCATTTTTAGTTACCAGGAGTACAGAAGTTGTTAGAAGTAATCTCAATATCTATTTTAGGAGAAGGACGTGAACTTCGTGCCGTTCCAACTGCTCGTGGAAACGCCTTTCGTACTCGACGTAGTGTATACGACAGAGATCCTGGCCACGCCCCCATTGAAAAGAGAGGAATATACCAAGGCGTTAGAACATAAGAAGAAGTCGTTCGATACGGAGTTCGAAAATAAGTTCAAATTGTCAGAGAAAGGGTGAGATACTGCAACTTTTTTTAAGATAAGATAAGATAAGCATTTATTGTCTATAACTGTGTTACATCATATATTTCCATATATGATGTAACACAGTTATAGACAATACCGACCAGTTTATTCATTTCGGACGTACAATATGAAATTAAAATATACAATTACATCAAATAACCAAAATACAAAAACAAAAAAAAATACATATAAAATAACTATCTACAACACAACTCAGATCAAACAATTTGTGTAAAAGTACACACACACATAAAAGTTACACAATAACCATTGTTTTAAGGTTCTTTTAAATTGTCCAGCATCCAGTGACTTGATGCTATCAGGCAAATGATTAAATATTTTTATTCCACTTATGTAGGTAGGTTTTATAGTGCCTTACGAAGTTGAAATGCCTTTTCTATTTATGTGTGCCTGTGACTTCGTCCGCATGTTATAGTGGCCTGGACCAAATAAAGAAAAAATATTCAATAACCTAACCCAAAAAAGTCAAAGAAAAAATGTTTCATCATTCTAGCTTCAAGAATGACTTTCGTCCCCTATTTCATTTTACCCCCTCAACACATTTGCAAACTTTGAATGTCATATTTATTTATATTTAATTAGTCAATACAATATTATTTAAATTTGTAACTTCTCTCTTACTGTCCTTCTCCTTATTTTACATTTTTTTTTGTTATTTCTCTTTATATGATATTAATATTTGTTAGTTGCTCCATATCTTTTTTGTTCTTACTTTCAATCTGAAGCTGTACTTATAATTTGATTATCATGATCATGAAGTATTTATTTATATACTAGCTGATCTCGCGATTTTGTCCGCGTGGAATTTAACTTTATTTTTCTAAAATAAAAGATTTTTTCTAAGCCTAAGTTACTCCTTATTACATCAGCTAACTGCCTAAACAAGTCCCGTCAAAACCGGTCCAACCATTTCTCAGATTAGCCGGAACAAACAGACAGACAGACAAAAATTGTAAAAAATGTTATAAAAATCTACGTATATATATCAGTTATCTAGTACCCATAACACAAGCTTTAACTAGCTTAACTTGGGTCTAGATGGCGCTGTGTGAATTGTCCTGAAATTATATTATAATTATTATAATATAATAATAATAATAATAACTTTATTGTGCAAAAAAAACAAATACAAAAGGGACTTAACTAAGGTTATATATCTATATTAATTCATATATATACAATAGTTTTTAAAACTATTTAATATCAAGTCCAGTGCAGTAGTATCTAAACTAGGCCTAGTCTGTATCTATTATTATATATATATATATATATACACTATTATATATAGTATAGTATATAGATAATATTAAACTGTATATCTATTTGCAGATATTCAAATGAGGACGTAGCCATCGCGAGAGCAGCCATGTCCAACATGATCGGAGGTATTGGCTACTTCTACGGCGCGGGCCGCGTTAGCTCCGAGTACACCAAGGAACCAGTGCCGTACTGGAGGGCGCCACTCTACACCGCTGTGCCTAGCAGGTTATTATCTCCTAGTATTCTTAAACAAATATGATTAACTACCTACTCGCCCTGGCTTTGCACGGGTGTATGTATTATATACTAGCTGCGCCAGCGACTTCGTTCCATATAGAATAGAATAGAAAATCATTTATTCAAATAAACTTAATTTAGCACTTTTGAATAGTCAACATTTTTTTATATCTACCGCTTATTCGGAAAGCTGTCTCATCACAAGAAGAATAAGCAAGAAACTTGTGTGTTGCTCTTTTAAACAATCCTTGTAAGTTCACATTTTACAAGTTGATATAACATTTCATATCCCCTTTCAACCCCTTGCATTCCTTTTTTCGCAATAAAAAGTAGCCTATGTCCTTTGTTAGGGTCGAGACTATTTGTGTACCAAATTTCATTTAAATCAGTTAGCCCATCTTGACAAATGGCAATTTACCACGACGGTTTCTAGGGGAACCGCGTGGAGGTCAACCTGACCCACCCTTTTCTAGCAATGTGCCATACATTGCTAGTAATTGGTTTCATTAATCCATATACATATAAATAAAATTGGAGTGTCTGTTTGTAATATTGAAATAACCGTTTTTTACTACATGCATATGAATATAAATACGGTGCATACACCAAAATAACATTTTTTGCAATTTTTGTCTGTCTGTCTGTTTGTTCCGGCTAATCTCTGAAATGGCTGCACCGATTTTGACGGGACTTTTATTGGCAGGTAGCTGATGTAATAAGGAGAAACTTAGGCTACTTTTATTTTAGAAAAATAAAGTTATATTCCACGCGGACGAAGTCGCGGGTACAGCTAGTTAATGATATAATTACTTCCTGATTTTTTTTTTATTTATCCTGTACATGTGTTCCTTAGCTTTTTATTCCCGGATTTGCTATTCAATACTTGCCATTTTCATCAGGTCGTTCTTCCCTCGCGGCTTCCTCTGGGACGAGGGTTTCCATGGGCTGCTGATCGGGAGCTGGTCTCCGGAGATCCAAATGGACATAGCGGCGCATTGGCTGGACCTCATCAACGTGGAAGGGTGGATACCTCGGGAACAGATACTTGGTAATCATAATTTTTTTTTTATAAGATCAGCATCTAGTATATAAAATTCTCGTGTCACAGGTTCCGTGTTTATACTTCTACGAAACGGCTTGACCGATTTTGATAAAATTTTATATGTATATTCAGTAGGTCTGACAATAAGTTTATAACTAATTTTATACCCCTAAATGTTAAGGGCCACCCTTAACACTTAGGGGTATAAAATTAGTATTATAATTAGTAATCACATATAAATTTTTTTTAATTTTTTCGACAATTTTTTTTTATTTATTTATTATGTGGCATTAAAAATACATACAACCCTAAATTTTCAGCCGTCTATCACCAAACCCTAGTATATTAATAAAATTCCGCTGAACACACTTGACGTTTATTCTATCGGGTACCAGGAGCGGAGGCGTTAGCAAGAGTTCCTAAGGAATTCGTAGTCCAGAGCAACGCTGCAGCCAACCCGCCCATCTTGATGATGCAACTAGCGCGCCTCACTCGCCGTCGACCGGAACTGTTCGAGCCGCACGGGCCGTTCCGGGCGGTCCTAGACCGCATGTTTACCAGACTCCAGGTATCTTATGTTGCCCTGGTATTTTTTGTTTGTTTTATACTAACTTTTGACCGCGATTTTTACTGCTTTTTTAGATAAATATTTAATCAAATCAAATCGGAACCCATTTATTCATGTAGGACATTTTAGGGGCCGTTCAAGAATTACGTAAGCATTATGGGCGGGCCAGGGGTATTTGCTTTGCTCATTTTGGATGACATGGCGGGTAGGGGAGTCTAGATGATGATTACGTCATCGTAGGCGATGACGTAATCATCATCATCAAATCATCTAGACTCCCCTCCCCTTATTTACTTTTTTTACGAAAATAGCAACCCTCACATTTTCTTTGCTATAAAAAACAATAATTGAAAAATGTTTACGTGAGCATAGGGGGAGGGGGTAAGAGTTTTGCGTACTTGGCCTGACAAGGGGGATGGGGATAAATAATGGTAATAAATCTGCTTACGTAATATTTGACGGCCCCTACTACGGCCCTTTAGCCGCTTATGAAGTTGTTTTGTAGTAATATTTCTTATTTCTCATTCGGAAAGCAGATTCATCACAAACAGAATGAGAAAGAAACCTGCGTCTTTTGAATAAATGTTGTTTTAATTAAATACATGCACTAACAAGGACGAGGCATGCAACATTCTTCGTGCAATCAGATAATATTGTCACAAAAACATGATTATCATCTACAAACTTCAATTTTATAAAATAAACTTTGTTTTACATAACACTAGCTGTGCCTGCGGTTTCACTCGTGTTAAAGTTCAACATATAAAAACTGTAGCCTATATGTTATCTGATGCATAAACTATATTATTGTCAAGTTTCATAAAAATCCATTCCGGAGTTTTTCCGTGACGTGTAACAAACATCCATACTTACAAACTTTCGCGTTTATGATATTACTAGCTACACGTCCCGGCTTTGCCCGGGTGTACATGTATTATACATATAAACCTTCCTCTTGAATCACTCTATCTATTAAAAAAAACCGCTTCAAAATCCGTTGCGTAGTTTTAAAGATTTAAGCATACATAGGGACGGACAGACAGCGACAGCGACTTTGTTTTATACTATGTAATGATAAAGATTCTGGCAGTTTGCAGTAAAACCTTACGCAATTCCCATAGTAATGGATTTTGTATATATCTTGGTTTACCTTTCAGGCATGGTACCAATGGTTCCAGTCCAGCCAGAAGGGGGAGGAGCCCACGTCGTACCGGTGGAGGGGGCGGGAAGACGACGGAAAGCAACTCAACCCCAAGACCCTTGCGTCAGGTCTGGACGACTATCCAAGGTAACATCTTTGTTGCCATTAACAGCAACCGTTTGAGAGCGTGGCCGCTAAAACAGTCTTCAGTGAGTACAGCGCCATCTAGTTTTTGAGTGAGATAACCACCACAATGTATCTTTAATTTAATATTATTTGTACTTATAAACTGGAAGAAAATATATAAATAGTATAGATTAAATCCAACTATGATTAATACATCTATATACATATAAATAAAATTGGTGTGTCTGTTTGTAATATTGAAATAACCGTTTTTTACTACATGCATATGAATATAAATACGGTACATACACCATAACTACATATACTAATAACATTTTTTTACAATTTTTGTCTCTCTGTTTGTTCCCGCTAATATCTGAAATGGCTGCACCGATTTTGACGGGACTTTTATTGGATGTAATAAGGAGTAACTTAGGCTACTTTTATTTTAGAAAAATAAAGTGAAATTCCACGCGGACGAAGTCGCGGCTACAGCTAGTTATGATATAAAATCACAAGAAGAATGAGCAACTTGTTTTCTTGCTCAATCTTCTTGTGATGAGTCTGCTCTTTTGAATAGATGTGATTTTTTAATAAATAATTATACAATAACAGGTAAGAGGCATGCGATACTAACATAGAAACCGCTACGCAATTAGATAATATTGTTTTTTTTTTACAAAAACATTATTATCGTTTACAAACTCTTCAATTTTATAATAAACTTTTTTACAAAGGCACGAAATATAGTGTTTTATGTGATCTGATAACATCATTGCTAGCCACCAGTGCCCAATGTAATCAATCGTGATAAATCCTGGTGAATATGCCACGATATATAATATATATAATATAACCATAAAGACAGGACATAGCCTATGTCCTGTCTTTATGGTTATATTTACTATAATACATACATTAATTAAAATTGCATTTATCTTTACATACATTTTCATACCTATTTATAAAATGGTCTTAATTTTAACGTTTTATTTTCTTTAGTAATCTTTACGTACGCTCTCTCGTGTGTGGTGGCCCCACTGAAAATCAGCACTGTGGTATACATATATATACTGCAGTATAAATGCTGAGTGGGAGTCACATTCAGCGTTACTAGTATGTTTTAGCTTTTAGCTTTTAAGTTGTATAGTATATAAGATAGATAGCATCTAAGAATACTGTAATGCTGAATAAATGTCTTTATTATTATTATTATTATTATTATTTATATATATATGTATATGTTTCAGAGCGTCGCACCCGTCCGATATCGAGCGTCACGTGGACCTGCGTTGTTGGATGTATGCGGCGGCCGATAGTATGGCTTACATCGCTCGGCTTCTACAACGAGACTCGACCAAGTAAGAGTGGTCTCACATTGTTATTTTTATGCATTACCTTGGTATAGTCACCTTGACCAAATAAAGACAAAATATTTAAGAATCTAACTCAAAAAATCCAAAGATCTAGTCGCAAAAATGTCGATTTTCTGTACTAACTTTCATCCCCTATTTTATTTTATCCCTCAGGTAACGTGTTTACAAACTTTGAATGACATATTTATTTACATTTAATCAACAGCCTAAAAATAAATGCTAGATTTAAAAGTGACGATACCTTTATACTACAACCTTTCTTCTCTCCTCTTTCAACCCTTTACAACCCATTTTTATTTATTTATATTTAATCAAGTTTCAAAAATAAGTTACAAACTTCTTACTTTAAAAATGAAGATACTTCCGTACATCCTTACATCTCTCCTTATAACACATTTTCCTTATAAAATGTTTTTTCTCAGGGTTTAAACTATTCGTGTACCAAATTTCATTTAAATCAGTTCAGTAGTTTTGGTCACACTAATTCTAAACTTCGTGACATAAAACCTTTCAAAATTTTCAAGTTAGGATGGGGGAGGTGTTTTTTTAATGTTTTTCCACAGAATAAAAAAAGGGTTCACGTAACGTAATGTGGTGTTTCAGGTTCGAAGTGACCCGCGATCAGCTGGCAGACGAAAGGCTCCTCAACGAGTTGCACTGGTCCACGCATACGCAGACCTACGCTGACTACGGTCAGTTCATGATCGCCTGGTACTTTGCATCCGTAAAACTATTGCATTGTGATGCAATTATTTCTTTTATGTAAATGGTAAACAAGTTGACTCCTTACTTGATGGTAAGTGCAGGGCCATCTTTCGCCTATTAGAGGCCCTGGGCGCATTAGGCTAATAGAGACTCTATGACTATAGTAATAAAGCACTATTTTGTTAGAATAGACAAAGTTATTTTGGACATGACTCTTTAGAGATGTATATTGGTATGTCCTACGTTCAAAACAAACCAATCAAAAATAATTTTAAAAAGTTGTATATTGGAGATATGACGTGGATTTAGTACAGGAAGTAGTTAATACAATTTAATTTATAATAATTATGATACTACGATTGATATAGATATTTTCAATTCACTATGCAACGATACTAAATAATGATGTAATATGCTATCATCATTGATAGAACGAAATTTGAAAAATGTGCATAGCACTGGATATGTAGTGGATTTTTAGAATAACGACAGAAATATACCTTTATCATTATTGCAATAATGGAGTAAGCCAAGTAGTTCAAAAATAATTTTAAAAAGTCGTTATGTGATGAGGGGTTGATACTGTTACCGCAGGCGAGTGAAGTATTTATAATAATAATCTCAGGACAATTCACACAGCGCCATCTAGACCCAAGTTAAGCTAGCTAAAGCTTGTGTTATGGGTACTAGATAAGGGGCCGTTCAAGTATTACGTAAGCACTATAGGGGGGCGGGGGGGTCTTTTCTTTGCTTATTTTGGATGACATGGGGGTGGGGGAGTCTGTATGATGATTACGTCATCGGTCGTAATTTACTTTTTTACAGGAATGGCAACCCTCACATTGACTTTGCTAAAAAAAACAATGCATTAATTGAGAGATGTTTACGTAAGCATGGGTGGAGGGGGTAAGAGCTTTGCTTACTTTTGCTGACAACGGGGGATGGGGGGTAAATAATTGTGATAAATCTGCTTACGTAATACTTGAACAGCCCCTAACTGATACAAGTACATAGATTTTTTTTCTTAAATACATACATCATATTATAATACATAGAAAACACCCAGACCGATACAATCATACTCTTGAATAAAAAGTTTGTATCGTGCGAGGAATTGAACCCGCAACCATCGGAAGTAAGACGGTGTGCTACCGCTAGACCATCGAGGCCGTCTTATTCATTTTAGTATTGACTAGCTGACCCGTGCAACTTCGTCTGCGTTTCATTTCCCCACCTTTTCCAATATTATTCATTGCAGCTCCGCTCCTACTGGTCGTAGCGTAATGTTATATAGCTTAAAGCCTTCCTCGACGAATGGACTATCCAACGTAAAAATAATACATATATTCGAACCAGTAGTTCCTGAGATTAGCGCGTTCAAACAAATAAACTCTTCAGCTTTATAACATTATTATTTATTAGAGCAAGAACACAAGTTGCTTTTTCTTTTTGTGATTTTATGATTTTATATCATAACGAGCAGTATGTAAGGGAAGTAATTATATCATTAACTAGCTGTACCCGCGACTTCGTCCGCGTGGAATTTAACTTTATTTCTCTAAAATAAAAGTAGCCTAAGTTAACTCTTGTTACATCAGCTACCTGCCAAAAAAAGTCGCGTCAGAATCGGTCCAGCCATTTCAGAGATTAACCGGACCAAACAGACAAACAGACAAAATTTGCAAAAATGTTATTTTGGTGTATGCACCGTATTTATATTCATATGCATGTAGTAAAAAACGTTTATTTCAGTATTACAAACAGATATAATAAATAGTGTCTGTATGAATGTGTGCCACCTACCCTATTCTATGTACATAAGTCCTCTCTTCTAGGTTGTCAGTAAGAGATTGCATTTAGCGATAAGACCGACTTTTGTTATTAATAATAATAATAATAACTCATAACTCATCCATGCTTGGCTAAGGCCCGCGTGTTTGAATATATTACCCCCGTAAAAAGGGAGATATAATAAATATATATATATATATATATATATATATATATATATATATATTGGATCAGTTCCGTTAAGACACGTTTTCGCTTTGCTCCACTTTTAAAAATCATATTGTATAATTATAAGTCACAATACACCGTTAAATATACATAATTATAAAGTTACTTCTATAACCAACTCATAATTAAAATCAGTTTAAGAATTCATTCAGTGACACGGAGGATATAAGTGAAATACTAAATTGTGTTTAACCGTTTACGGAATGCAGTAAGAACGTACGGAGACAAGTGACCTTTAACCGAACCGCGTGACCGTGCCATACCGGCAGTGCAACAGTGAATACAATTCGCATCGCATAGTGCAGTAACTCGACGAATCGAGCAATTAATCGAGAAACACAAACTTAAATCATGCCGAAGTCGTGTGTCGCTTGTGGAAATTCTATTCAAAACTCTGAATACATGGAGTGTGAAAAGTGTAAGAAGCACTATGATATAATGTGTCTCAATTTAAAAAAAGACGAATGGAAGAAAACATTACAGAAGCAAAAAAACAAATGGCTGTGCCCTTTATGTTCAAGTTCAAGACCTAAAGGAGACAACTCAAATACGCCAATTAGACCTACTAACAACGCTCTCGAAGACATTCAGGAAGATCTTGAAAAAGTAAACACGACGCGTGGTTCCCGAATTAAGTCCACAAACATGGTAACCGATAGTAATGTGAGTTTGTCAGATTTAATGAATGAAATAAGGAAGCTGAGAGAAGAGGTGAGTGAGATACCTGCCTTACGAAAAGAACTCGTTGATGTGCGATCTCAAATACTTTCGATTGCCAACTCACTAAACGAAACCCTGGCTGATCACAAGAAAAAACTAAATGATGCCCAAGTTGAGATATCAAATTTGAAAGGTATAATACAGAATTCGCAAAGAGAGCTAGAAATTCTAGAACAAAACGCATTGTGTAACGAACTCGAGATAGTTGGTATACCGGAAAGTGGTGGCGAGGACTTGATGAGCACGATAATTACGACATCAAATAAACTGGGAGTGGACCTGAAGGAGACAGACGTATGCCATGTGACACGAGTTGGTGCCAGACTTGCACAAACTTCCAGTTCGGTAAAAGAAATAAAAGCGCGTCCCATATTAGTTAAAATGGTCCGACGCGCCAAGAAAGAAGAAATTATAAAGGCTAGTAAAGCTCATAAAAAACTTACAACAGAAGGAATAAAGGACGGACTGCCTAAACCGGTGTACATCAATGAGCGTCTCACTCGAAAGAATAAACAGTTATTTCGAGAAGCCAGACTACGCTCGAGGAAGTACAACTTTCAATTTTGCTGGGTTCGGAACGGCTTTATATATATCCGGCAGTGTGAAAAGAAGCCGGCATTTCGTATACAGTGCTTCGAAGATGTTGATGAAAAAATTGGCCCTGCACTTGACTTACATGTGTCCCTCTAATGGTGGTAAAATGCTTGTTAGTTCTGTATATATGATTGTAATAATATACTTTCAGTTATTTCATAACTTAAAATATCCTATAAGAAATACACTTTATCCTTCATTACTTTACATAATAACAGCTCATAACATTTCTTACACACATAAAACAAATCATACATCTTTCTCACACTATACAAAAAACGTTCAGAATCAGCATAAAATAATCCAAAACATATCACACTCCAGACAGTTCTCTCAGCATGTTTCAAAAATTTACTGGCTCTCAAGAGTAAATATAAATTTATTACAATTTAAAAAAATTAAACCAAAACGCCTGATCCACTTTTAGATATAGATAGTTTACTATCTATTAAATGTTTTACTCTTGAGAAACCTGAAGAATTCTCATCCTATTTAACATCTGAGTTAGATTTTAAAGTCCTTACCTTAAATATAAGAAGCATTCAGCATAACGTAGATGATTTCCTGGTGACTCTTAGCAGATTTAACTTACCGTTTGACGTACTAATTTTAACAGAATGTTGGATAAACGATAACACTATTATTCCTGAAATTCCGGGTTATCGAGCCTATGCAACAAAACATGGAATTAACAAAAGTAGTGGCATAACTACCTATGTTAGAAATATTTGGACCCCTACCGTTCATGAACCACAGTGTGACGAATGTAATTTCATAGCCATTTCAATAGAGAATATATTTATATTAGGAATATATCGTTCTCCATCTTTTACAAATATCGACAAATTTTTGCTTTCTTTAAATAACATTTTGGAACAACAAAAAAATAAAAAAACTATCATCCTAGCTGGTGATACGAACATAGACATTCTCAATAACAATTCGACTCCAAATTTAATAGAATATACTTGTCTTATGGCAGAGCATCAACTTATTCCTGCGATAACTGAACCCACTCGCAATAAAGCATGTCTAGATCACATATACATAAAAAATCCATCGAGATCAGCCTTGGGATTGGTATGCAGGAGCAATATCACCGATCACGACATCTGCGTTGCCGGTCTTGCCACTTCATATATATCTCAAACCACTGACAAACAGTTACGACGTAAAATCAACACAGAAAGTTTGCAATCTGAACTTGCTGCAGCAGACTGGGGCGCCGTTTTGGATTGTCAGGATGTTGATCAGGCTGTTGGATGTTTCTCACATATCCTGGAGAATGCAATACAGAAAAATTCAGAACTTGTTGTTGTAAGAAGGTCTTGTAGAAACATAAAACCTTGGATTACACCAGGATTAATGAGATGTCAAAAAACACGAGACAAGTTACACATCCAAGCCAGGAGGAATCCCCTAGACCCTACAATACAAACAACCTACAGGCGTTATCGTAATTTCCTTACGGAACTATTATTTAGAATCAAAAGGAAATATAATAGTGAACGCATCTGTATTAATAAAAACAATCCCAAGAAGCTCTGGTCAACAATCAAGGACATTTGTGATATTTCGCCTAATAGACAAAGCAACGCAAATGAACTTACAAAGTTAAACTCAGATCCAGTCCAATCCTTAAACATCACAAATAAATACTTCACAACAATAGGTGAAAACTTGGCTGTCAGAACTATGACTAAACTCAATGCAGAAGAATCAGATTTACTCTCAAAAGTGTCAGTTCTCAAATCACCTTCGACATCCCTGTTTATAGGACCCACCGATAAAATAGAGGTCGAATCACTTATTAAAGGGCTAAAAAATGATAGCGCTCCCGGGGATGATGGTTATAGCTCATCGTTGATCAAAAAGGTACATTATATTATTCTTGATCCGCTGGTCCATATATTCAATCTTAGCATTCTGAAAGGTAAATTTCCTGATCGATGGAAACACTCATTAGTCACTCCAATTTACAAAGACGGTAGTAAAAATATTCCTGCAAATTATAGACCAATCTCGCTCCTAAGCATTTTTTCTAAACTACTTGAAAAAATTATTAATAAACGTCTTGTAAATTACTTAGAAAAACACCAGATTATTTCGGAAAATCAGTTCGGTTTTAGAAAAGGTGCCTCTACAGAAAACGCCGTCTCCCGTCTAACAAATATCATCTCTACTTCTCTGGATCAAAAAGATTGCTGTATTGGAGTCTTTATTGACTTAACAAAAGCCTTTGACACGGTCTCACCTTCTATTCTGTTAAAGAAATTGGACTATATCGGGATCAGAGGCATTCCTCTAAACTGGTTTAGCAGTTATCTCACTGGTCGTTCTCAGTCTGTCAAAGTCGGCTACATTGCTAGTAATCCATTATCAATAAACCTAGGAGTACCCCAAGGAAGTATACTCGGCCCAACCCTGTTTACAATTTATATAAACGACCTTTTACAGCATCCATCATTTGAAATGAATATAACAGGATACGCTGACGACACAGCGATTCTCTTCAGAGGGTCATCTTGGGAAGAAACTCGTTCGCTTGCTGAAGAAGGCATGACACATCTTGTAGACTGGCTTCACCGAAATTTATTAACTCTAAACACAAATAAAACGACTTACCTGGCTTTCCACAAAACAAATGCATCTGCCCCCAGACAACTTCTTCCAATACCTATACACACATATCCGTGCAGAAATCAAACCAGAAATTGCAACTGTGAAACAATAAAAAGATCATATACGATAAAATACTTAGGAATAGTACTAGACGAAAATCTATCTTTTAAAAAACAGATATCTTGTCTATCTGCACGACTAAAAAAGATCATATATATAGTAAAATCTCTCAGACAATCAACTCCACTTGATGTCCTCAAGATGGTGTATATTTCCCTGTGTCAGTCAATTTTAATTTATTGTATAGCTGTCTGGGGTGGATCTAATAAGTATGTTTTTATTGAAATTGAGAGAGCACAACGGGCAGTCCTTAAAGTAATGTTAAATAAACCTTTTAGGACTGCAACAGATATAATTTATGAAACAGCACAAGTGCTACGTGTACGTCAACTTTACATTTGGCGGGTTATATGCCTACAGCACAAAAAAGTAGGGACCATGATCGAATACGAAGCCTTGTTACAAAATCGTACTTTCAGAATTCCTCTACCCTCGATTCGCACCACATTTGCCAAGCGTTTGCCACTGTTTTCCCATCCGTACATATATAACTATGTCAATAAGAAATGCACAATTGCAAAACTATCCATGCATCAAGTCAAAAAAACTACAAAATGCTGGCTGATGAAACTAAATTATGACGAAACAGAACAAATACTTCCAACTTACGGCTAACACACAGTTCTGCAAATTGAACACACACACACACACACACACACACATATTCATACATACACACTCTCATTCACACCAATGCTCACCTTTTCGATTATACATCCACAAATTTATTCCCTACATTTTACACACAAGTCCCATAGCTATTAATACAAAGGGTAAACATGTAAAATGAACACAATAATAAGTCACTCCAGTCTCTACAATACAGGCCTGCGAGCCTAGTGTAGAACTACAGTAAATTAAAATGTAAATGTGTATCATGAATAAAATATTATTATTATTATTATTATTATTATATATATATATATATATATATATATATATATATATATATATATATATATATATATATATTATTTGTCAGAATATGGTATGTACAATGGTGGTGAGTATATATATAAAGAAATTCTTTATAATAATATAATTAAATATTTCAACAATTCAAATTTTGGCGCGTTCCGCGCTGTTGATTGCAAGGAGTGTCAAAGGGAGCTGTCAATAGAAATAACATAAAAATGGATCGTGCAAAAACAAGTGTGCGTGAATAAGGTTATATAAAATATATTATAAAAAGACAGTAATAGTTAAATAATAATTGTAATAAACTTTAAATGTCGTTTCTTTGTTTACAGAGAAACAAATTTTAGTTTATTTTATAAAGAAACCCTGAAAATATCATTATATATATAATATATGTTTCATCATATTCTGCTGTTTCAAGCGTACAAATATTAAATCAATCAAGTCATTATTATTATTATTATATATTAATCAAGTTATTATTATTATTTTACTATTTACTGTATTTTCTTATTATTTTATGTGTACACAATAAAGAGTTTTATTATTATCCAAAAATTCTCATCTCCCCTCTTAAGGAGAGGAGATGGCAACATACCCCCGGTAGAAGCACAGTCGGCTGGGGTTCAGGGCCCCAGGGAGAGAAACCAGCGTACAATGCGGGCAGAATCTAAGAGCACCGCTTTCTGCATCTTTCCCGGGAGTGAGCCGCCCCGGAATCCCAACCGTCTGAGATGTTGTTCCAGACTGGTTGGGATAAGACCGTTCACCGATCAGTTATCAGTTATCTAGTACTCATAACACAAGCTTTAGCTATCTTAACTTGGGTCTAGATGGCGCTGTGTGAATTGTCCTGAGATTATTATTATTATTATTATTACTCCAATTTTATTTATATGTATAGATGAAATAAATGAATGAATATTTAATACCAGGACTGCATACTGACGGTGTTCGACTCGTCCGCCAGCAGCCGAAGAATCCTGGGGAGTCAACGCGTGTGGTGCGAAGCGTGACCGTACCACCGAAGCCCAAGTTCGTCACATCTGCGTTCGGTAAGTCCTTGTTGTTTATGTTCTCCTAGTACCCATCAGTGTTGAAAATCATATTGTGCGGTAGTTTAATTATATTATTTAGGATTTTTTCAATGCTGGGTCGCAGCTGGCCTTAACAGCTTCATCGGACGATAGGGGGCGAGTACAGATGGCACTCCAAACCAAAGGAAGGACTTATCGAGCTGAAAGTTAACTTCCGCTTTACGGATACGACTTTAGTCTGAGGGCACCGCTAGGGGTTCCAACCTCGGTTCAGGCCGTCATAATTTCGATTCCCGTTTGAATTGGACTGGGGATCGATCAGAGTGGGGTACAGGCAGTCCTCGACTTACGTCGTTTCGATTTACGTCTTCGAACTTTTAATAATACACTATGTATATCCTCTGTTATAAATGCAGTTTTTTTTAATTTAAGTCCGTGTGGATCTTATCCAACTATATGAAAAATATGTCACGACTTACGTCGTTTCGATTTACGTCGTCGAACTTACTTTTAACAATACAGTATGTATATCCTCTGTTATAAATGCAGTTTTTTTTTAATTTAAGTCCGTGTGGATCTTATCCAACTATATGAAAAATATGTCACGACTTACGTCGTTTCGATTTACGTCGCGTATTTCGAGAATCTAACATGCCGTTAGTACAAGGACTGCCTGTATTTATCTATTGTGGCTTGAGATAAAATAACAATACATCTCCAGTTTTCAATACAGTGGACCCCCGGTAATCTGGCCCTTGTAATTCGACATGGTCTATTATTTATTATTGAATATTTTTTTGACAATTTTCGCTAATGACTGAACAAGTTTGAACTTGTACGCATCACCACTGTTGTACTCGACACGTATGGTATTGTTGTGATTATGATTGCTTAGTTTGAATCTGACTACTTACATGTGATGAAGGTAGCGCTGCAGTATAGCATGTGTTCATTGGTTACTGTTTATTCATTGTGTATTACGCATCAGCTCAGAAGCGAAAGCACAAAATACTGACAATTAAAGAAAGATGTGATATTTTAGACCGCCTAAATCGTAACAAATCTTTTAGTAGTTGACATACATAATGAAGTATCATTTGGAGGTACTTCAGAGTGCATATATAACATAGAATCTTATCACTGGATCTGTAATTTGTCGGATTACAAGGTACTCTTCTGTAAAAAATTTCGAACTATACGGAAACCCTTAGGCAGTACTCTATAATCCGATAAATTTGATGTTTCGAAACTGCCCTGCAAAACATTTGTCGGATATCCGGGGGTCCACTTACACATATATATATTTTTTTTTTTTTGACATTTCTCATTTATTTTCTCTGATACGCTTAAATTAAAGTTAAATGCCAGTTACTGTTAACTTGTAACAAGCAGAATAGAGAAATTCTCCACCAATTAAAGTTAAATGCCAGTTACTGTCAACTTGTAACAAGCAGAATAGAGAAATACTTCACCAATTAAAGTTAAATTCATCTTACAGGTTATGTATCGCTGTTCCCGATGCTACTAAAAGTGTTACGGCCAGACAGTGACAAACTGGCCAAAATCCTGCACGACCTGAACAAGCCTGATCTACTATGGTCACCATACGGTTTGAGGTTAGGAAATTAAATGTTTTTTATGGATGATAATGGAATGATGCACTTGCCTGCGCTAACGCTGGCGGGCCATGAGCGGAATATGATAAGATGGATATGTAGTCAGGTCAGTTAGCCAATTTCGAATTCTCCAAGGGTTTCAGGGGGACCGCGTGGAGGTCAACCTGATATGGTACATTGCTACCCATTTGTCTTGGGCAATAGTCCACATTACTGACAATCCACTTCCCTCAATTTAAATGTCACAATCTGAATATAATCACGCCCTCTTGTAAAAAAATGTACCAGGAGATTATAAGTATGTAAGAGAACAATTCAATTGCAAGGCAGGGTTATCACAATGTTCTTTCCATCTGTATATGTTATACCAAGAGAATATAAATCTATAAGAGAGGGCAGGTCTCCACACCCTCTTTATAAAAAAAAATATAATTCCTTGACCTGCTGTTGTATTATTTTCTTACCTACTTATAATCTCCTGGTACATTTTTTTTCAAGAGGGTAATAATAATAATAATAATCTCAGGACAATTCACACAGCGCCATCTAGACCTAAGTTAAACTAGCTAAAGCTTGTGTTACGAGTACTAGATAACTAATACAAGTACATAGATAATTTTTTTTCGTAAATACATACGTATTATACATAGAAAACACCCAGACCGATACAAACAATCATACTCATGAATACAAATGTTTATGCCGTGCAAGGAATCGAACCCGCGACCATCGGACGTAAAGCGGTGCGCTAGACCGCTAGACCACCGAGGCCGTCAAAGGGTGTGGTTATTCATAGACAATAATAGTACATGACAATGTAATTTTAACATTCGACAACAAAAACTACATACTAGGAGATAATGAACATTTAAAGAGTAAAACAAACGTAAGTTACGATCGAAATATAAAATATAATTTTTACTAATATTATAAATGCAAAAGTTTGTATCAGTATGGATAGGGATGGATATTTGATACTCTTTTACGCAAAAACTACTGTACGGATTTTGATCAAACTTTACGGTAATATTGCTTATACATCAGAATAATTGGCTATAATTTAAAAACATATTAATGTGAATTGGGCAAAATATAATTGGTAAGTGTGATGTAGATGAAGTAGTTTTGCACCGTCAATGTACTAGGAGATTATAAGTATGTATAGATAGATATAGAGAATAACATATCCGCAGGTCATTGTCCAAGTCGTCTCCACTATTCATGAAGCGTAACACGGAGCATGACCCCCCATATTGGCGCGGCCAGGTGTGGGTCAACCTGAACTTCCTGGCGTTGTCCGCCCTCCGCCATTACGCGGTGACCCCCGGGCCCCACGCCGAGCGGGCCGCCCATCTGCACGCCGCCCTTCGAGACAACCTCGTCCGTATGTATTTTTTTATAGATGATAATGGAATGGTTGACTTGCCTGCACTAACAGTTTTGGTCGCTGGGGACCAATGGAGGTTGAAAAGTTGAGCATTTGGTTAGTTAGCTTTTCGAGACATATTCACTAGAAATTTATCATAATGGTTTGTGGAAGGTACTTCGAAGTCAAGGTCAGGTACATTAGTAGCAATGGGGTCAACGGACGGGGGGTGGGTGCCCCCCTATGCTCCCGTCCGTATCTGTTTACCGCCGTCAAATTGGTTTGTTATCGGTGTTTCTACCGGAGAGTTAGAGATGTAAATTGGTAGGAGATTACTTAGAGCTGACTGGATTCAAACCTGTTAAGAATTTAGTAACCATAGCCTATTATTAGTGCTGTATCTAATAGGAATTACTAAGACATCATACACATATAGGAGTAAATTAATTTTATTTTTACCTAATCTAAATATATATAACTCAAAGGTGACTGACATAGTGATCTATCAAGGTACAGCCCAAACCACTGCACGGATCGGGCTGAAATTTGGCATGTAGGTAGATGTTATAACGTAGGCATCCGCTAAGAAAGGATTTTGATTAATTCTACCCCCAAGGGGATAAAATAGGGGATAAAAGTTTATATGAAACTTTGTCAATTTCAAATCGATCGGGCTGAGACTTTGCATGCATAAAGCTACTATGACGTAGGCATCCCCTAAGAAAGGATTTTAATTAATTCCACCCCTAAGATAAATTAACGCGAGCGAAGCCGCGGACAAAAGCTAGTATGTATATATTATTTATGCTTCTATGGTGGTAAACAAGCTTACGGCCCACTTGATGTGACTATTATATACAAGTAAGCCTATTATTAGTACTGTCTTTAAAACAAATTACTAAGACATCATGCACATGCAGGAGTAACAACTTTAGCAGACGATATGCCAAAACTATAGCCATCCCTTTCACTCATTAACAACACGCTATAATTCTATCTCTTTCAGGGAATATTCTGTCCGAGTACAAACGCACTGGGTACCTCTGGGAGCAGTACTCGTCCGAGGACGGTAAAGGTAGCGGCTGTCGGCCATTCACGGGGTGGACGGCTCTAGTAACGCTCATTATGGCTGAAGAGTATTAGAAATTAAATTTGTAACTATGTATAGGCGAACATACACTATTAAGCGGCTTGCGTCAAGCGCTTCCATTTGATTAAGCATAGATATACGGCCTTAGTGGTGTAGCGGTATAGCACAATGCCTTACTTCCCATAGTCGTAAGTTTGAGACAAACATTTGAAACGTGACTATGAAAACGATTGTTTGTATGTACTTACAGAAAAATGTATTTAAGTATTTCTGTCAGCTAGTGTATTATATATAGGACGTAACCACTTACCATCAGGCAGGTCGTAAGCCTGTTTGCCGTTCCATTTACGTGAAAAAGCTGTATATATTTGAAGCGATTCTACTCGCTTGATCAAGCCGCTTGTCTGACTATACATAGACATTTTATAATATACCATGATTGAATCAATTTCTCATATAATGAAAGTTTAGTACTACCTGTCCCTGTCTAATAAAGGTAACAGGCGTAAGTCCATCTCTGTCACGCATTGTATATAGGGTGGTTTAATTACGTCACATGAATGTGAATTGAAACCCTTTCCCTTATGAGACATTTGTGTGAACCTCTAGTGCAGTTTTCCCCAATGTGGGGCCCACTCCCCGAGGGGGGGGGGGGTCAATTTGAAAATTGACTATTTATTAAAATTACTAGCAGACCCGGCCACGAGTTGCTGTGGCTAAGGTTCTCGAATAAAATAATATTACGACTATAAATTGAGATGTAAGCTATCCTATCTGTCAAGTTGGATCAAATTGCACACAATGTGCAAATCAAATTTGCAATCGGTTCAGTAGTTTAGGAGTCCATCGCGGACAAACAACTTGACACGTAATTTTTATATATAAAGATATGGAATGTGATTTCCATTTTTTATTAAATGCTTTGAAAAAATCGTTGTGAATTTCCTGGAGGGGGTTGCAATTATAGAAAGGGAAACACTGCTCTAGTGTGACGTGGCATATTTTGAAATTTCAATTATTTTCGTTAATGATACAGATTTCGAAATGTGAAGTTTGTGACGTTAAGCACCCTCTCTTCTTGTCACACAATGTCACACATTGTCGATCCCCTTCCACCTCCTCGACGTGTGACGTAATTTATAAATGACCCGTATATGAAATGGTCACACATTGTCGATTTCTTTCCTCGACGTGTGACGTAATTTATGAATGACCCCTTATAGTAATCGCATTTATGAAATTTAAACAGGTTGTAAATGTATTTATTAAATTAGTAAAACAAATATTAGGAGTAGTATGAAAAAAAATTAGGTGGGGGGGAGATGTTCCACCCACCTGGTATACCCATGAATGGGAGGAAGGTATTGTTATAAGGTAACTTTTATAATCGATGATAATGGAACGGTGCACCCGCCTGCGCTAACGGTATACGCTGGCGGGGCATCAGTGGAGGATGACTGGATAGGTATGAGGTCAGGTCAGTCGCATTGTGGGATTCCATCCATTCATCACGAATAAACCACAATGGTGTTGATGGGTGACCGCGTGGAGGTCGAACTAACATTGAGTAATGTGGGTCTAATCAACATTAGTAACTTTTCAAATTTTATAAGTTGTTATTATTTATTTATTAAAACATTAATGCACAAAAATAATGGTGCATATGGTAGACTTATGGTTAATAGATAACCATTTAAAAATATAATATTTCTTACTGAGAGCCAAAATAATGGGTCTTATATAGAAACCAATTACGATTCAATAACATTGGATTATCCACTTTTTGTACTCTTAAATTATATACTACAAACATATTACTTTATATAACGTAGTCAAAAAACAATTACCTACCTGTCTTCACATGACACGTCCTTTCGCGTGCGATTAAGCGAGAGAAAAACAACGCACAATCGAATCAATTAAGATCCGGCCGATCAGAGTATGCGTTTCGGACAGGTCGGGATCTAATGGGCGATGTAACTTTTAACTAACGTACGTACATAGTTTTTAAAAGTCAAACCACATCAAACTGCGATGTAACAAGGTTATTTGGTCACATCACTACAAAAACAAACAGTTGACATAACCCTGAATCAGCGCAGTTTGATATGGTTTGACTTTTAAAAACTATTGTTCTTAGAATAGCTCAAAACTAATACGTTTGTAAATTGGAATAATTATTAGGTTTTTAATGTTATCACTCGTTAATAAGGCAAATAAAAATATTTAAATTTTGCCGTAAATTGTACGTCAGTTCAAAGTTAATTCACCCATTCGATCCCGATCTGTCAGAAATGCAAATTGCGTACACTGTCGTTCCCGCGCTAATTCGCAAGTCATTTGAATATTTTGTGTTCACTCTTTCGCCTGTGGTTGCCCGTATGATTCATGTCATTTCACTTTCTTTTTTTTAAGAATCCACAAATTTTATTTGCCATAGATCATGTTTAACATTTATAAATTAGCAATAATCGTAATATGGGTGTGAACTCGGAAAATACATTTTTATATTTTTATTTTTATTAATTGACATAAATTTATGTATAAAAATGAGTAAATTCAGAGGTTATTTATTTGAATTTTCAGTGCGCCACAGACAACTTTTATTTTTATAATTTTACAAGACATGTATTTGTTTGTTTATGTCTGTATATTTTGTAAATATTTGTGAATATAAATATTATTAATAGAAATTGTTTTTTTATTACCTATGACAATATGACAGATATGACAAATTTCAAGGTTACCATGAAACTTGTCATATCTGTTATACCGGATGGGGTAGTTTCACCGGAGATTCGTTCAGAAATATTAACAAAGTTTTTGTTGTTAGCCAGGTTTGAACTCAACTTTTTGGATGGATGTTATATTATGTGTAATATAGTATAGGTGAAATAATTGATTCAGAGATACCCAGGCACACAGACGATTTTGTAGTTATGTACTTACATATTGAAATCAGCGCCTCGTTTTTTTAATTTGGTAAAAGTTGGTAACAGGCGTTTGGAATAATAAAAAATATATATATATGAAACTGATCTTATTTTTAGTGACAACAGAACAAACTTTACCTTAGACGAGTAAAGTAAGTTCTTTTAAGCTACTAATAGAAATAATAAAAAAAAATATTTTGTTTTGAAATTGTATATTCCATAAAGATTTTTTTAATGGAGTACTGCACCCGCCTGTGACGGTTACGCTGGCGGGGCACCAGTGGAGGATAATAAGATGAGCATGAAGTCAAGTCAGTTAGCTCATCTTGGTAAATTCACCATGAATTTATCACAATAATTTCCAAGGGAAACCGCGTGAGGTCAACCTGATATGGTATATTGCAATGGGATTATTAGTCCACATAGATAATACTTGTAAGTTACCACACGCAATGGATAAAATATTGCATAAATACTATTTAAAAAGTTATACTTATTTTATAAAATGTTATTATTGCTCCACCCCTTTTTGTTTTGGCTCGGTTTCCCATTTCAGGGAAAGGACACCAACCTATACAGCCAACTCCACCACTTCGTTCCATCTTTAAAACTGTACTTACTCTGTATATAGAATGTCACTCGACGTCAGTCAACACAGCTGATAAGCAAAGTTACAAATCTATGAATGTGTTTTTTAAACTCTTCACTTTTGTGTTAAAAACTATTTTATTTCTACGTGTGCTCGACTTCGATACCTAAATTCTTGTAGAACACAATATAAAGATATAGAATGGAGTATTCGCCTGATATAGTCATAAAAGAAGAACAAGAAATGTATAGTGATAATTCTTTAGATCTGAAGTTTGAAATACTTACCGATGTTAAAATTGAAGAAATTCAAGTCTACAATAATGTAGAAGACGCTGCAGACTCTGGTAGAGTAGTGAGTTACCGAGAATTAACCGATACGGGTGATCAAATGTGTCTTAGGTGCTACAGAGTACTGCCAAACAGGTTTGTTTCTAAAAAACGCAATTAAATATCTTAGTATTTACATAGTATATAATGAAGTCGCTTCCGCTATCTGTTAGCTTAGATCTTTTTTTTTATTATTATTATACCTTATAGTACCAACATAAAAGAACGTGATCAAAATTAAAACAAAAAAAAAATGAGGAACCCAAGGTGTTATCGGATATGCAGTCTCTTCCACACGACCTTTGGAAAGAGAGTATTTACAAAAACAACAGTAGGTGGCGCATGAGTGGAAATAATTTTGGAAAGTACCATCAATCTTAATAATATAAAAATTGACTTACATATACATATGTAAATAAAATAGCTATCAACAAATGTAAAAAGGAAACTATCATGATAAATCCTGGTGAATTTGTCATGGTGGGTTAACTGACTCATTCTTATATTTATGTTATCATGTTGCACTGGTACCCACCAGCTTAAACCGTTAGTGAAGGTGGGAGCAACATTCCAGTAACAATATTTACAGCCAGTAAACAGCTTGCTTTATAAGTTGTCTTTCAACATTTTGATCCTTCATCATAACAATATGTCACTCGATAATATTATACAGGTGGTTGCAGCATTTCATTATATTACACTTAAGTCTTTAAGAAAATATTTTGTTTCAGATATTCACTTCTAAAACACAATTTATCCCATTTACATATAGATGTAGAGTATTGTCCGACACAAAAATACAGATGCAACTACTGCTCTGCCTTGTACTACTCCGAAAGTGAGCAGAAACACCACTTTTGCATTGAGAAGCAAGAGAATCTTCTTCAAATACGCAATAACATAAAGAAAGAGAAGACACAAAATCATATTAAGCAAGAAAACAAACAAATATGTAATGGAGATCCACCAAATGGAATATTATACACTCCAACATGTGGTATACCAAAGACAAAAGCATTACACAAGTGTAATACTTGCGATCGAATATTTACATACAAAAGGTGGCACGATCACATCACTAACACTCATACAAACGATACCGAATCCATAGACGGGAAAGTTAAATGCAATATATGTAATAAATTATTCAAGAAACTGTATATAAAAAAACATATCCAACATATACACGAAGGGAAGAAACCGTCATGGAGATCCCATAAGATCAAGGAGGTTGATGCTGAATATAGTTGTACATTGTGTAATTCAAAGTTACATAATAGTACAGCATATAAAACACACTTGAGGAACTGTCACAACACTGATATAGTTGAATGTAATATATGCAAGTCGAAATTAAAAAAATCTAACATGTTCCATCATATGAGAAGGAAACATTGCACTGATGGTGTAGTACACAGATGTGAGTACTGCAAGAAGGTGTATCAGGCACTGTATTATTTGAAAATTCATTTGAAGCATTGCCGAAAACGAATTTGATGTTACAACTAGTTTGGTCGAACTTCTGACCATTGAAATGTTTATGGAGACTAGGACTGTAATGAAACTGCTTCCTATGAAACAACAATACAATAAATTACGGCACACTTTATTGTACTATACAAAATCGAAGGGATTAAAAAAAGTGAGTTTTTGACCGGGGAATGGTGACCCGGTCAAAAACACACTTTTTTTGACCCACACATTGTATAACAAAGGATTGAGTCTCAAAGTTCGGGGTAAAAACATTTTATTGATTAACTATAACGAGCGGACATGTCTAGATTGGTTTTTAGATAGAAAAGGTCAAGTCAATAAAAATTTCATATAATTATGAAGCCTTTTATTTTATGTCCCAACTAGCAATTACTCGGGAATTTTACAAATTTTTATCTGTCAGTTTGTTCTTGTAATCTCTGAATCGGATGGACGGATTTTGACGAGACTTAGACTCGCAGATAGCTAATGTTATCAGGAGTAACTTAGGCTACACATTTATTATAGAAATTTTATTTATCTTATAAAAAGAAAACTTAATTCCCACGAGGATGAAGTCGCGGTTAACGGTTAGTAAAATAAAATGAATAATATATTAATAACATATTTATTAGACTATTAAACTACTACTATATACAATTCCCTAAAACTACATTGCAATCGGTAATTTTGGCTAACTGCTTTAATACGCAAAGAATCCTCAACTTTAAAAGGCACCCTCTTTTTTTCATGTCAGGTATCACTGAAAAATGGCACATTTTGTTTTCGGACTACTCTTAATACTGGCCGTAGCTGGCCTTAACTTCACCGGATGATAGGGGGCGAGCGCAGATGGCATTCCAAAGCCGTTACGATTTTAGTCTGAAGGCGATAGGGGATCAAACCTCGGCTCAGGCCACAACGGCCAACTTCGATCCCCTTTTGAATCGATAGGAAGTCCAGCGGCATGTGCGTAGAGAACCTGTCCTAAAACTGATATTGTATCTATTGTAAGAACTGAATAAAAATAGTTTCTTCTTTAAATTGAAACATTAAATGATTTTACGGTCACGATTTAGTTTGAACAATTTGAGAGTTGCCAGTGCTCAGCTAGTTTGCAGTTAGAAGGAGTTTGTTTTGGATGGCCCCTTATGGTACATGAGCTAGGAAATGATCAAGGAGAGCAATTTCCTCCCGGTCCAAAACTTAAGATGGTTAAGATAGTTGTATTATGCGATATTTATATTGTTATATGCGATATTTACGAGATTACTGATCCTTAATCCATTCACGGAATCACAGCTGACTGTTACTAAATTCCTAATACAACATTTTTAACCATTTTAGAAGTTTTCGACCGGGAGAATATATTTGCCAAATAAAAGCTTCTAGCTCTCAGACTATTGGATGGTAATTAACATTAATTTATTCACCAGTCTTCAAATCTTTCTCACTTAACTTTTGTTTTTCGAACATAATTCTCAACTGCTCTGTGGCTGACATTGGCAATCTATTGTTTGCGCCGAATTTAGGGTCTGGAAGTTGTACTGTGTTCAATTCTGGGTCTTTAAACGTGAAGGGGCTCCATGGACCCTGGACGGATGGGTAGTCGGTGTGCTGGTACTTCCGGAGACGAGTGCTGGCGATGTCCCCTTCCTGGGTGCGGAGGACTTCTATCCATTTCGTCACTTCCGTTTGTGTTTTGTTATGCATACTCATCCAAACTCTATCACCATTTACTGAAAATGATTTAAATGTATAGTCACATCATAGTATTTATCATGATGGTTTTCTGGAAGAACGTTGTGGAGGATAATCTGTTAATGCGGTCCATAGTCCACATTACTAATCGCCTTCTCCCTGAACATAAGGGTAGTTTAAGTGGACGATAATATAGTTCACCTGCCTGCGCTAACGGTTTACACTGGAGGGACGCCAGTTGAGGAGGATAGGATGAGATTGACGAGCTGATTTAAAAAACACCTTTTGTCCAGGGACTTGGATTAAAGTGATTTTTTTAAATGGATGATAATGATATGGTTCACCTGCATGCGTTAACCGTATACGCTGGCAGGACACCAGTGTAGGATGATAGGCTGAGTATGAGGTCAGGTCAGTTAGCCCATCATGGTAAGAAAGAAAGAAAGTAAAAAATATTTTATTCAGTGCAATGAAAAAACACATTATAAACAACAATCGAGAAAAAAAAAGAGCAAATAAAATGTACATTTAATTAAACTTAATTTACCATGTAGATAATTAAAAATAAACATAAAATAATCATTTTTTACATCCAAAAATGCACTGAAATGGCTCCACTCAGCTTTGGTAAAGTCACTAGGGATTTGTTACAATGGTTACCATATTACTAATTTCATTCCACCTGGACATATGTTGTTATGCTAGCACACCCTGTAATTTAACTTTTTTAAGTTGTTTCACTTTTACCCAAGTGGGCCACCTAACAAGAAAAAAATGAATATACCAAAAATATAAAAATTATATGTTATATGGAAGATTATAGCTATAATAATAATAAAAGTTATTTAATAACAGTATTTCACTCACAATATTCAGCAACAACAACAGGGCTGCGGTGACGTCGAGGCTTCAAGTACACCACCACACCGGGATTCTGCTTTGCAAAGTCTACCAAATCCTGTTCAATATAATCTCTGTAATGGAAAATGGGAATCATTATCATCATCATCACCACATCATTATCGTCATTATCACCATCATCGCCTCCATCATTATCACCATCATGTGAACAGCAGCATGGACATCACATACATTTTAACACCTATACTACACTAAGAGTACTAGAGTAAATAAGAGTACTTCATGTTGACTGTTTCCTACTGAACAATAGAATATAATAAATAGGATGACTGTCCTTACAGCATATGGGGAATCTGTACTGCATTATAATAATAAATAAATTACCCTGAACAATTAACACAGCGCCATCTAGTTCCATGGTAAGCAGAGCTAATGTTATGGGTACTAGACAACAGCTATAAATACAATTTTTTTTCTAAATACGTAATATACATGGAAAACACTCAGACCGATACAAACAATCATACTCATATATACAAATGTTTGCATGAGGAATCGAAACCGTGACCATCAGAAGTAAAGCAGTATGCTAAACCACTGAGGCTGTTATTATGGACTGCTAATATGGGATCATTATACAAAGAACAGTACAGTCTTCATTGTATAGTTGCTCTTTTAAATAATTTTATTGTTACTTTACATTTTTAAGTTTAAGTGTGTGAATACAAACTACCAATTAGCACTAACTAGGTAATAGGAATTAAAATTTAAGCTTAAGTAAATAAATAAATAAGGTAATAGGTATCTTTGTACGATAAAATTTTAATTTATTTAAGAAAACCCATAACTTATATGGCTAATACTAGGCATCATAACAGGTTTCAAATCCAAAATTTCCAATGATACAGTACGCTAAAAAACTGTGAAAATAATCATTATCATTACATAGTATAAAACAAAGTCTCTGTCTCTGTCTGTCCGTCCCTATGTATGCTTAAATCTTTAAAACTACGCAACGGATTTTGAAGCGGTTTTTTAATAGACTAAGTGATTCAATAGGAAGGTTTATATATATAATACATGTACACCCGTGCGAAGTCGAGGCGAGTAGCTAGTAGTATATAAAATAGGTGCTCTCTCTTTTTTATCCTGGTGCCACTAAAAACCAAATTTTTTAGAAATCTTCTAATGTTTTTGGCCGTTGCTAACTTTTACAGTTTGACTGAACGAAACTGGGAGCAAGTGTACAGGCCATTCCGAACCTGAGCGAAGACTTATGTAGTGGCAGAAGCTCAACCAAAGCCCTATCCGCGATTTTGTCATACGCCAGTAAGGATTCGAACTGCAGCTCAGGTGGTATTGTTTTGATAAAAGTGTTGAAATGTTTACCTCATTCCTCGACTGCCGCCGTGAGTTTTGCAGAATTTTAACACAATCCTCTGTAACTGCTGAACGTAACGGCCTACACCATTTTGCAACGGCGCTCGGACAAACCCAGACTTTAGGAATAAATTAGAATTAGACATTTTAAGATATATCTATGTTTTGTAGGAACAGAATTTTATTGTTGTTTTGAGGTTATAAAAGTTATAGTCCCGATCATTCATTTACATTCGTTTATTCCTAAAATCAAAAATCTAACTACTCTGTACTGTACTTTGTGTTTCATTCTTTATTTTTTTTATTAATGGTAAAAGTTGCCATATATAATAATATTTACCTCTAAAATAACTTTTATTTATTATAGTAATGAAACAACCCTAAAATAATATATTTGATGATTATGATGGCATAGCAAAAATAAAAAGTAGCACTTTTAATATGTATGTAAAGTTTTCCAAACAACTCAGATAGATATATTAGGTAATATCGTTGAAAATACAGTTTGAAATTGTTGGTTTAGTACTATGTTAAATAAGAATAATTTGATAATATCATACAATATTGCAAGATTGCGACTGCTTATTCATCATTATTAATTTAAAAAGAAAAACTGTTTATATAGTTAAAAAAAATTAAATTATGTTAGGAACCTATTACTGTGGGTAATAAATATAAATGAAAAAATAACTTTATTAAATAAATTTTAATATATTACAACTGTTTCACTTAACTATCAAGTAATATCGATAGGTAGTTCCAATTTTTTTATCTGTACTTATAAACTAAACAAGATACATTATTGTGATTACAATAAGTAATTGATAAACTAAAAAAATACACGATCGCTTTTTAATTTTTTATCAGCCATTAATAAATACTATTAATTTGTAATACTTATGTAAGAGAGAGAGAGAGGTTATACAAAATAATATTTGTATAATTAATTAATAAACGATTTACAATAAAAACTTAGATACCCTTTTCTCTTCAACATATTATTTCCTCGTTTGAATTTTAAAGAGTATAAAGTTATTAGATTAATTCTACATTAGAAGCAAATTAACGGCTCTTTTTACAATATTTAAGCAAATTGCACTTGTTAGGGGCGGGTAGTAATTATTTAATATTAATCCTCAAACGTTAGTCCTTCAAAGAAGTCGTAGAGGTTATTTTCACTATAATATAGTAATTGAATTAAATTATCGTAAATATATAACAATAAGAAATATAATTAATTAGTTATCATTAACTTAAAACTCGGGGTCTGTATCAAATATTCTGAAGAGATCTCCAAACTAGGAATTTAAAAATCTTTTACTAAATCTACTATTGTTAAAAGTTAGGGTATTTCAAAAAACAACTGTTAAACATCTGTGTGAAATCGATTATTATCTATATAAGGTTTATTTCAAGTTCATGTTTACGGTGATTTTAAAATATTTAGGACTTCTTGCAGATTTTATTTTTATGATTTTATTATAATTTGATTATACCTATATGTATACATACATCAATCAGTCAACAATAACTAATCAAGTATAATATCGCTTTCTATACTAGTTCACTAATTCCTAAGAATTCGGTTAGTAGCGACTTCAACATACTACCCGCTCCTAATTATTTTCCGCTGCCACATTGACCACACCTTTATTATTTTATATATTTATATCTGTGGGAAAGACAATCATAGAGGCTCTTATTCATAAAAAAAAACAACCTTCTATAAACCTATTTGAATTAATATTGTCAATTTTTATTCAAATAAAAAAAAAATGTTATGCTATTGGAATGGCATACAGGCGGTTCACCACCAGCACCAGGAATGGAAGAATAGAAAATCATTTATTCAAATAAACTTAATTTAAGCACTTTTGAATAGTCATAAAATTTTTTTTAATCTACCGTTCATTCGAAACGCATTCGGAAAGGTCGGACAGTATTTCAAGCTCTTTGGTTCTGTAACATATCTATGGTAAGTGAAAACAGTTGTCTGTATATATGAATATTGCGACGACATCACGAAACTTCCTATAACTTCATGTTATCCTGGTACTTTCACTGTATCACACTCAGCCCTGCTGATGGTAAGTGGTAACTGTTGCCTATATAATTGAACAGCATCATGATCACGTTATCACATGATACCCGTGATACCACTCATGCATTGCCATTCTAGAGTACTAAGATTAGTTTCCATATTCTGTACTTCACGACCGTATTTCGCTCTTAAACCGGAACACAGCTTACAGGCTACTGCGGCTAACTAGGTGAGGTACCCACGCAGATGAGTTTTTACAAACTCTACCGGTCTTTGTAAGAATACGACATTTCTATAATTAATTAATTCATAATTTAAGAGCCTCGCTTTTGTAAGTGGAGCACTTGTTCCACGATCTTCCATCGATATCTAGAATTCTTGATGTGACACGACTCCAACTTTTTCCTTAATCTACTTGCTATAGCCGTGTCTTGGTATTCCGGTATCCCTCTTTCTTACCATTTATCCTTCGATAATATTATTCATAAGCCCGTCATGTCGTATCAAGTGCCTCATCATTTTTCGCGCCTATTCTCAGTAATATTTATAATCTGCCTCTTTTCTGTAACCCTTTGCAGTTATTTATGTCTTATTTTATATTACCTTATGTTAAGAAATCGCGTTAATTTAAATTGCGTTTTTATGAATACAGAAGGAATATAGAAGGTATAACATATAGCTATTGGTCCTTGTGTACCTTAAACGCCCTACTCAAATCAGGGGCCATATTGGAGTGGTGATGGGGTGCTCCCTGGATAATTTCGTTTGTAGGGGACGCTAGGTCAATCAAATAGTGCTATTTTTATCTACTTTAATGCTGTTGGCCGCAGCTGGCTAATACAGCTTCACGGGACGATAGGGGGCGAGTGCAGATGGCACTCCAAACTAAAGGAAGGACTTATGGAACGGCTATCTCCTGACGTCTTAAGTCTGAGGGCACCGTTAGAGGTTCCAACCTTAGACCAGGCCGATTTCGATCCCTGTTTGAATGGGGATCGATTAGAGGGTATAGTGTGCCCGCGGGCCCAATTTTATCACCACCCCTACTGTTCCGATATTGCCCCTAATTTTAGTCCTATATAATTTTATCCCTCGAATGTAATACATCCCTTATCCGATATTGCCCCTGATTTTAGTATATATATTTAGGTCGTTATAATTCCCTTGATAAAGGTGTGGTATTTATGTCTTTATAACATTATTAAGCGTTTAAAACTATTGACCAATTAAGGTTTTTAGAAATAGTCAATAAAATTACAATTTTAAGAGAAGTTTCGAAGCTGATATGCTTTATATATATAGTCACCCGGTACATTATGTAATATTTTCATACATAATTACAATAAATGCAATAGCCACTAAAACTTCTCTTAAAATATAGAGTGGTATACTTTGTCCAAAAGTGGAAAGCAAAGGTACAAGACCATACATCCTAATCTTCTATTTAACACGTTAAAAACCACATGCCCTCCGGTGGGTCACATGACATCGCAACGAAAGTAAATTTACACATTTTGAAATAAATCTAGGGGTTAAATAATGTCTACCTCAAATTATTGTACACTAAAAACATATTTAAAAAAGTATATACCTAATTAACAAAAACAAAAAAAAAATATTTTCAATGCGGTCTTCAGGAGCCAAAAGAAAAAAAAATGCGATCTTCAACGTGCTAAAATATAGATTACTTACAATAACATAGATCTGTGCATTTTTTATTATTTTAATAGAAGCAATACAAGTTAGATTCTGTTTCTTTTTAAAATCATGGCATTTAAATATTGACACATGTATTTTGAATATTTATTCTTTACTTTTCTCTTCCAATTGTTTAATTCTGACTGGGACCTGTACGGCGGGCAAATCGACACTTTTAGCACGGCGGCGGCCATTTTGAATTTGCACAGCTGACTGTAATGGCGCGAAAATCTCCGGCAGAGTGCGCTTGCGGCCGAATTCTGGAGTACGTAGGGTTCCACCTGTAGAATATATTTGTTAATTTAACGTAGATATTTTTTTATACTGTTCTATATTCAAAATAAAAGAAAATATACATGTAGTACATTTTAACCACTTATGAACGTTAAGTCGTTTATTTTTTCCTTACGCCGACCACCTTGTAAGTGCTTGTAAAGTAACTGCTTTCATATGTTTATTTGTAATGAATAAACTGACAACCTAATTAACCAATTTTTAAATAAATCTTTCTCTGCTAACTTAACATGGACAGTAATAAGACATTTATTAGGGGATCGACGTAATCGTAGATTAAAAAAAAAATTAAACAACACTGTACGCACTACACTATCACTATCCACTTACATCCAAAACAGGATTAACCATGTCCGGGCTAGGCAATGCAATAATTGGAGCCCGTTACTATATTAAAAATATATTATTTTCTATAAATGTGAAAAATAAAATAGCATAAAATATAAACTTCAAAGAAAGAACAATAAAACAACAGGATTAAAATGTTTTCAATTACATTTTCTTTATGATACATTTTTTTTTGTGCCCCTAGGTCCCGTAGGGGTTAGGAGTATTTTGCAAATGGTTAATCCAGCCTTACGTCTACTATCTACCACTACTACCATCTACTAACGTAGCTAGAGCTGCCAACCTTTAAATATTTAGTGTCGTAACAAGACATAAGAAATCCGATCGACAGTTATCGGATTTTTTTGTACGAGTTTAAGAGCCAAATTGGGTTAGTGTACGACTACACAACACAATTTAGCTCTTAAACTCGTACACCATCGTATTAAAAATGACGTACAAACTTGTACGACGTTGAAAATGTCAAATCAAATCAAAATATCTTTATTCAATGGCTGTATGGGCGCAGTTCCCTTTGCCTTTCCGATAAAGGATAAACAGAATAAAAAAAAATCTTTATTCATGTACATCTATTACAGATCCAAATATGAAGAAGTTTAAACGTAGAGTAGGCTGTACGGTCTAAGGATCTTTGTCTGTTCCATCACTGAAAAGGAGATGGACGAATATAGGGAAAAAAATATGTATATTACAGACTTATGATATGTCAAATCTACTGTCAGTTCGGAGTACTTTCGAGCTAAGAACTGACAAGAAACTTAGCTCTTATTCTTTTCAAATGAGCTTGAACATGATTAGAAAAACACAGACTAATTTTTAAATTAAATTAGGGGTTTAATACAAATCG